TCGTAAAACACAAACTTTTCTATCTAATTATTTATTTTCTAAGGAAAACTACATAACAGCGCGAAAACCAAACATGACGCCGTACTGTCAAAAACATTCGTTAGCAACTTCAGGGTATTAGAAAGCTACGTGTTGGTAGGCAACACAGTATGCGTTGATGTATTCCTGGTTACAACGTCAAATTTTGTTGTTTCTTCCTTTCTCCTGTAAAAGATTAACAATACGAGAGCCGTAGTGCTGTTTATAGATTCTCGTACGGAAATCTATAAACAAAACGGTTTTCGTATTGTTAATCTTTTACGGGATGGCAACATTGCACAGCAGTGTCGCCAATAACAGAATATTTATATTCTACACTATTTTGAGTGGTTTAACCACGAACAAACCAGTTTAACAACTTTTATTTATAGGCTGTAAACCCAGGCCCAGGCCTAAAGTGGTTTAAATCTTTTTACAGTAAATAATATGATGGAAGAGGATGAAGTACATTTATTTGATGACTTTGTCACTGAAGATAGCATTTACTTTATAGACTGTGAGGATGTGGAAAAGGAAAACCAATCACTTTTAGAAAAAGTACAAAGTTTCGTTAAACAAGAAATCATTGAAGGAAGTAGTGATGAAGAAAGTGACGATTCTGATGCTGGAGATGAAAGTGAAAATTCCTCATGCAAAATTAAGGAAGAAGGAAGAGATAGTGACTTTTCTGAAGAAGATTATACAAACTCCTCACATAATGAAGATGAAGCCATGTTTGAGACGAAAATAGAAGTGGAATATCATGGGGTTAAATATGATGATGAAGATAAATCAGGGTGAGTTATTTTTTATACAGAGTGTTCTTCAGGCCCTGGAAATGTTAAATTATTTTTCCTGCAGGGATGCCAATGAATTTATAAAAAAAGAAAACAAAGAGAATACCAGCCCTTCCAGAAAAAGGTGAGTTTTATAATTTAAGCATTTTTACTGTACTTTTGCCCAAATAATGTTCAGCTAAGTTTGACTACAATTTGTAGTCTACAAACAACAAGTAAAACATGGTGAATAGAAAATATTTATATATTTATATGTATATTGGTAGGTATAATGGGCGTGACAAAATTTCCGAGTAAAGTATATGGGGCAAAATTTGCCAAGTGTACCAGGTGAAAAAATTATTGTCACCGATTTTGTTTAAACTTTACTTATTTGTTGTTCTTATAACGAAGAATCATAGCATAAAAATTTTTTGCTCTAGGATTGTTCATTCAAGAGTTATGGATTATTGAAATTTATCGATTTATTACTTTTTGGTGAAATCGCTTTTTATTAAAAAATTCATAACTTCTGTTCATCTCTTTATTAAATATTTCAATTTAACCACCTTAAATGATTTTTTCCGTACTTTTCAATGGGCTATACCGTTTTTGCAAAAAAATAAAAATTACAATTTTTTTTTGAAATTTTGCACAATTTTGCATTTTTTGAAACAATGTGTATTTTTTAATTTTTTTTAAAATAGCATAAAATCGAAGTTTATTATGTTACCTTTGAATAAAAAAAAAATTTAGAGTGGGCCCGACATATAGAAGGGAAGTTTTTCATATTTGAATGCCGCACGGTCTAGCCATCGAATAGCTACTACATTGCCGTATGCGTTTATACCTAGTAGATGCGAGTAAACGAATACAAAATGATAATTTAAAATGTAAAATTATGTTTGAGTAGTCAATGATGTATTTTAAATATTTACACTGCCGCACGATATAGTTTTTTTTATTGGGAATTAGTCCTTCAGAGGGGACTTTAAGCCCGCGGTCCGTTCCTACCCCTAACCCGCACAAGCCATTCAGTTGGCTTATGGGACTTCTTACGAAGTAAGGGTGGAACTAAAAGACCACTTTTGTATATAAACTGTATTTTTTTTGCACAAATTGTTTAAGCATGGGTCTACATGTAGAAATCTATGCATAGATTTCGCAAGGAGGGTCGATGATAAAAAATGTATTGTTATAACCGTAAAGGCGCCATTCAGCTTATAGGCAAGCCGTTACGGTTATAACAATAATTTTTTTATTTAATATCATCGATCCTCCTTGCGAAATCTATGTAGACCCATGCTTAAGCAATTTGTGCAAAAAAATACAGTTAAAAAACTATATCGTGCGGCAGTGTAAATATTTAAAATACATCATTGACTACTCAAACATAATTTTACATTTTAAATTATCATTTTGTATTCGTTTACTCGCATCCACTAGGTATAAACGCATACGGCAGTGTAGTAGCTATTCGATGGCTAGACCGTGCGGCATTCAAATATGAAAAACTTCCCTTCTACATGTCGGGCCCACTCTAAATTTTTTTTTTATTCAAAGGTAACATAATAAACTTGGATTTTATGCTATTTTAAAAAAAATTAAAAAATACACATTGTTTTAAAAAATGCAAAATTTTGCAAAATTTCAAAAAAAAATTGCAATTTTTATTTTTTTGCAAAAACGGTATAGCCCATTGAAAAGTACGGAAAAAATCATTTAAGGAGGTTAAATTAAAATATTTAATAAAGAGATGAACAGAAGTTATGAATTTTTAAATAAAAAGCGATTTCACCAAAAAGTAAAAAATCGATAAATTTCAATAATCAATAACTCTTGAATGAACAATCCTAGAAGAAAAAAAATTGATGCTATAGCATATGATATATATATGATTCTTCGTTATAAGAACAACAAATAAGTAAAGTTTAAACAAAATCGGTGACAAAAATTTTTTCACCTGGTACACTTGGCAAATTTTGCCCCATATGCAAAAATAAAAATTCCAAACATAACCAAATTCTTTGACAGTTTTAATCTTTTTACTTGTTATAAAACCATTAAGAGCATATTTTAGTATAAAGTTAATAAACATATTTTTATCTCGAATTTCAAACGATTCAAATACTTTTAAGAATATTGAACGCTAATTTCGTCTTACTTTCTGAAAAAAATGAAATGTATGCATTTTTTGTGTTCCAAATTAGGATATTTCACGCCAAATTTTCAGTAAAAATTAAATTTTTCTGGAATATTTTTTATTTTAATTATGTGGTGTATACCTACTCCATTTTATGTAAATAGCTTCTAGTGAATAAATAATAAATAACAAAAACATTTCCATGGTTTTTGAGCTTGTTTTTGTTTTAGGGCAATAATAAAAGGTGACAAATTCAAAGGCTTTAAAAACCGTTGTCCGCATTGCCTAAAAGAGTTCACATTAAAAAATAGTTTAAAACGTCACATTAAAAGGCAACATGGCGATCCCTTTGCTAAATATAGGTGTCCACATTGCCCAAAAACGCACAAAAACGAAAATTATTTTAAAGAGCACGTTAAAAGCAAACATGGCGATCCCTCGCAAAGAAAAAAATACAAGTGTTCACAATGCGACGTAATGTTTTCTAGTACAAATAGTAAAAAGAGGCATTTTCAAATACAACACTCGTGTGCTAAAATCAGTTGTCCGCATTGTTCAAAAGAGTTCAAAAGAAGTGATCACTTAAAACGCCACGTTCAAGAACAACATGGCGATCCATTGAAAGGAAAAAAATACAAATGTCCACATTGCCCAAAAGCTTATCCAATAAGTCGTAGTTTAAGAAGACACCTTTTAGTCCAGCATTCCAAAATAAAACACAACGGTTTAAAACACACGTGTCCACATTGCCCGAAAGTGTACATAAATAAACATTTATTTAAAGAGCACGTTGAAAGCCAACATGGCGATCCCTCGCATAAAAAAAAGTACAAATGTCCACAATGCGACGTAATGTTTTCTTGTCTAAATAGTAAGAACAGGCATGTTCGAATGCAACACTCGTGCGCTAAATACAGTTGTCCGCATTGCCCGAAAAAATTCAAAAGAAGTGATCTCTTAAAATTTCACGTTGAAACCCAACATGGCGATCCCTTACAAAGAAAACAATATGAATGTCCACATTGCGACAAAATAGTATTATCTAAACATAATCTAAATAAGCACATAAAATCAAAACATTAATTTGTTAAAATAAAAATATTATATGTACCCTGGTCTTTTATTTCTACAAACCATTTCTTATACAATATGATTTTTAACAGAATTTAATAACTGAAGTTGTTGCCAACCTCAAAATAAAAATTATGCTACATTATGGTACGCACCAAACAAATATTATGGCACAAATTATGGTATATTTTAGGACTTTAAAATTCAAACAACTGGGCACTTTAAGAAAAGTCATATTTATTTTAAAACAAACAAAATAAAATAAATTAGGTACAAACAAAAACATAAACTTTGGTAGAAAAATAATAAATTATTTTAAATTTAATAAATTAACACTTTTAATTAAAAATAATATCGCATTCATCACAGTCTTCATAATTGAAATTATCTTTAGTCATGTATTTGCACATTTTTTCTGAGGGCTCAAAATTTATACAATTTTTTTTTAAATTTTTATACCGCTCGAAAAAATCTTTTCATAAAAACCAGAGGTGAAAAACAAAATTTTGAATAGAAAAGAACATATAACTGCTGCTAACCTAGAACATTAATTTTCATTAACAGATGTTTATGAAAATTTAATACTGCACTGGCAGGGCTGATCGCTACGTTGCCTAATTTATTTTCGGTGCAAAAGCATAAAAATGGAAGGGACAGACCTTTAAAATTATAGTACAAATACCATAATTATGGTCAAAAATTACGCGCCCCATTTAAATTACGTTACAATATTTAATTTACAATTAAGTATATTCTGTCCACAGTACACGTATGTAAAAAATATTTCGGTCCAATTTTGAGATAATTTTAACTGAATTATAAAATTAAAAATTTTAGTAAAATGTCAAGAATAATATTAATTATTTGCGAAAAGGGAGCCATAATGCCAAAACTATTGGATTAATAAAAAAGTTAAAAAAACAAGTTTGAAAAATAACTGTTAAAAAACCAAAAACGTTACATTTCTAGTTGTAACCAGTGGCGTGCCCGTGGGGAGTTTTTGTTTTTCCATTTATATTATAAAAAATCTTGTTAGCAAAAATAATAGTCCAGAAATAATGTATTAAAAATTTATTTACGTTTAATATAGTAGGTATATACATAATTACAAATATTTGGTGACTAAATAGTAAAATCACTCGTATTTTAATTTAAATAATATAAATCAATTCTACAAAATCCAAATTTATTATTAGGTAATCTGGTAAGAAATTAAAATGAAACAAAACAGGTAGGTAGAATTATTATTTTCCGTAACTGTAGGTACTTTGGTTCCGACGATAACGGCACGTGATGGTGCTAAAATTCCTATTAAGTCAGAATAACTCTTCCAGAAGACTCCCAAACCTTGCTATTAGTCTGACTTACTAAGACTTTCAAAAAATTTCACACGGGTTTAGTTTTTTTCTGTTTTATTGTGTTGTAAAGTTGATATATCTATAACTATAATTTTGGTCGCAATAAGGGCATTTGTTTTTTATTATTTCGATGGATCGCCATGTTGTTTTTTCAAGTGGACTTTTAATGCATCATTTCTCGTGAACACTTTCGAACAATGCGGACAACGGCACTTGAAACCGATGTGTGTTGATTTTTTATGCCGGCTCAAGCTGCTACTTTTTGCAAATTTTTTGTCGCACTGCGAACATTTGTATCCGTGTTTAGCGTGAGCGGTTTGAACGTGGACTTCGCGCTTTGCCTTGTCGGTGAACATTTTTGAGCAGTGCGAGCAACGGAAGTTGAAACCTTCGTGTATCGATTTAACGTGTATTTTCAGACTTCCCATAAGCGAAAATGTCTTGTCGCATTGCGAACAGTAGTATTTTTTTTTCTGCGAGGCATCGCCATGTTGGCTTTCGACGTGCTGCTTAAAACTATTTTGTTTCATGAACACTTTCGGGCAATGTGGACACGCGTACTTGGAACCTTTGTGCTCCATTTTGGTGTGTCGGGTTAAAGATTCCCTTTCTGTGAATTTTTCGTCGCATTGTGCACATTTGTACTCTAACGTTTGCAAAATATCGCCATGTTTTATCTCAATGTGCCGCGTTAGCTTACACTTTTTCGCGAACTTCTTCGGGCAATGCGGGCAATTGACCCTACGGCCGTCGTTGTTAGATCTGATGTGCACGTTTTTCAGCCACACGTTTAGAAATACTTTGTCGCAATGTGGACACGTGTACTTTTTTTTTTGCTTGGAGTCGCCGTGTTTGCTTTCAAGGTGATCTCTTAAAGTATCTTTTCTCGAGTACACTTTCGGGCAATGCGGACAACGGCTTTTGAGGCCGTCTTTTAACGATTCCCTAAAACAAAAAAGCGGCTCAATAACAACACTATGTTTCTTGCGAATAGTCCTAGAACTGCTTTGTCAAAAATTTATATTAATATGCTCAACTCACCATTGTTTGCAGTCAAATTTTGCTAAATAGGCAAAAGAACAGAAGAAATGTTTAAATTATAAAACTCACCTTTTTTTCTTTCTGGAAGGGCTGGTATTATTATTGTTTTCTTTTTTTTCTAATTCATCCGCGTCCCTACAAAAAAAATAAGTTAATTTACAGGGTGTTTCTATAATACACCAAAAATAACTCTGATTCATCTTTGTCATATTCAACACCATGGTATTCCACCTCGATTTTCGTATGAAACGTGGCTTCATCCTCATCTTTTCCTTCATCTTCACTGTGTATGGAATCTTCAGAAAAGTTACTAACCCCTCCTTCCTTTATATTGCATAAGGAATTTTCACTTTCATTTCCAGGATCAGAATCGTCACTTTCATCATCACTATCGTTGATTTTAGATCTAAAATTATGTTTAAATATAATTGTGGCCATAGGTTCTAAGCCCAATATTTAAATTCTGTGACCTTCAGGGCTCCCAGCAGGTAGTTTTTTTAAAGACTTGTCTATATTTTTGTCGTAAGTCTATAAAAGTCTATTTTTTTACCTAAAGTCTATAAAGTCTATATTTTCTGTTAAAATCAACTATTAAAGAAAGATATTTTTTTAAATATACATATTCACAGTTTTATAAATATCGAAACCACAGTAAACCAAGTGAAACATTCGAAAACTTTGCAGTTTACATTTAAAGTTCCCGCCGTCCAGACCCGACCCGCCCGCCAAAATTATTGCTGAATTGTTTCTGGTTGGGTCTAGGGTTTCGTTTACTTTTAAAGTTTCGGTTCGCTAGGTCCCCCCTAAAGCAATTTTTTATATAAATTTTTTTTATATTTATTATAAGTTATAATTTATTACAGAATTTAATATTTTTTTTGTTATTTATGTATTTTATAACAGATATGGTTACTTGTTAAATTTAATTCAATAAAAATTTATAATTTCAAGTTAACTCTATGTATTTTAAATTTAAATTTAGATCTTTTATCCAAAAAAAATGTATACCTCCATTTTATAGTTATTTCGGTAATTAATTTGGTCTATATTTGGTCGTTTATTTTTTATTATTAGTCTCTTAAGTCACTATTTCTCGCAACATGGACTGCTGGGAGCCCTGGTGACCTTCAATTTTGTTAACAAAAAACTTTCCTAAATATTTGACCATAAAATTGCAAATTTAAAATATCGACAGAAAATTTTTGCGCATCTTATCCTTATAAATTATGATGGGACTTAAATTTTTACTACAATTTAACTGCAGTTACAAGGATAGGGACGTTAAAAGAAAAACACTTGACACAATTAAATGAAAAACAAAATGTTTCTTACTGACCCTGATTTAATTCGTCGTTTATATTTGTTCCCTTTAACTTCTTCATCTTCAGGAGTGTATGATGAATCTTCATCGGCAGAAAAGTCACGTCCTTCATCGCTACTATCATCAACTCTAAATTATGAGTAGGTTTAATTAAATATATACCTAGCTTATGTAACAAAAAAGTGATGTAATGTTTGAAATATAGTGTTTTTTATTTTAGGAAGTTGTTAAGTTGAAAAATTCCTTGAATTATGAATTGTATTAGTTATAATTTTTTTTAGAAAACAAAAAACATAAAAATGATGGTTTTAGTATGGTCCAATAATATATCTAAATTTTAATGAAACTCAAATAAAATAGACGCACATTGGGACAATTTTATTTATTCTTCTAGTGGATCTTCTAACTTCATGATTTTTTACTTTACTTCTTGAATTTTCTTTGTTTTTTTCCTCATTTTCAGACGTGGATAAATCATCTTCTACCTCTGTATCTGTTGCTTCGTTTTTGTTATAACTTTCTTCAACTTCAGTCCTGAAATTTAATTTATACAGTATGTTGAGTGAATAAGTTTTGAAACCTTAAAAAATAAACTTTTTGCCTTAAATCATTAAATTTAACTTTGAAACTAGTGGAACAACATGTTCAACTGGTGCAACATATTTAACCTCACTTTTTTCAAATTTTAAATCTAAAATACTTACTCAACCTGACAATGTTTTCTACATTCTTTATTATTTTCTTTAATATTTTTTGGTTGGTTTTCCTTTTCTACATCCTTCGAGTCTATGAGGTAAATGCTATCCTCAGTGACAAAGTCATCAAATAAATGTACCTCGTCCTCTTCCATGGGATTATTTACTGTAAAAAAATTAAAACACGAACAATTATTGCCATAGACTTACAATGAGGGTCACATTACTCATAGAAATTTGTAACATGTTAAAAAATTCATTAAAACACAACAGACGTTGACCTTAAAATTTCCGTACATTACCATTGATGTGTGATTCAATTTTAATATCTATGATTTCTATCCACTAAACATTTTACATCACAAAATAATCACCTACAAAACAAAAAAGCAACAAAATTTGACCCAACAGCTGTTCGCATAAAAGAGGGTTGGCAACACTTCTTTATCTCTGACAACCCTTGTCTCTGCTGGCAACACTGATGAAAGTTTAATGTTTGTTTATAATCTGTGTTTTCTGTGTGAAATTGTTTTACATGTTATATGTTTATAATAAGGTACTATCATAGAAAATGGGTACTATATATACTTTACTTTATATATATTTATTTTAAATAGTCTTATCTAATATATTTATAATGTTATGCTGTTAATACCATACAATTTTAAATGTGTACGTAAATTTTAAGGTTAGAATAGTTGTTTGAATTTTTTGGAAGGAGGTATTTTATTTGTTAACACGATTTTACAGTAATAAAATGAAAAATACCTCATATTGCATTAATTATGTAAAACTCATCTTTAATAATTTAATTTTTACAGTAAATAATACAATGGAAGAGGATGAGGTACATTTATTTGATGACTTTGTCACTGAAGACAGTATTTACCTCTTGGTCTCTGAGGATGTAGAAAAGAAAAACCAATCACTTTTAGACACCCAAATTACCTTTGAAAAAGTACAAAGACCTGTTGAACCAAAAAATATTGGAGGAAATAATAATAAAGAATGTGGAAAAGATTCTTGGAAGTAAGTATTTTAAATTAAAAAATGCATAACTTTGTTACATATTATTACAAAATATTTATAAAAAGGTATGGTTTTGGAACATTAAAATATTAAAATAAAAGGATATAATGCATTAGGCCAAATTCAATTTTAAACTCAACAAAAAATATGTTTATAATAATTGTTCAGTTTACCTAACATCAAATATATGTTTGTATAACTTACTGCCAATTTCACCTATTTTCAAGATATTTTTATGAATATAAAAACTATTGCAACTTTTTTATATAGGTCCGCCCTCTAGCGGTTAATTTATTAATTATTATTTTATTTCAAAAATAAAATAGAGCTCAACCTAATTTAGGTTATAGTTCGCAGACTGTGTAATAGTTCAAATTTTATCTTAGTCAGACTTACTTAAAGCAAATTATTTTAAATACAAATGTGGTCATTGATTTTCTGTAATTTAGGAACCACTGATATTTTGATAAAATTGGAATTGGAATTTGGAGAACATTTATTTGGGTTTTATTTGTTGTGCTTTACTCTGTTTTTGATTTTTTTAAATTTTTAAATGAATTTATTTTTGTTTTTATAATATTTAGCTTCCCTGGTGACATTTCCACCTGTTAAAGTTACCGCACGTATCACCCAACAACACCCTGTATAAATCCAATTTTAGGACTGCAGTTGAGGAAAGTTATAACACAAATGAAGCAACAGATACAGACGACGAATATTTAATCACGTCTGAAAATGATGAAAAAAACAAAAAGAATCCAAAAACTAAAGTTAGAAGATCCTCAAGAAGTACAAAAAAAATTGTCGCAGTGTGAGTCGTTTTCATCTAACTTTTATTAAATTTTAAACTAGGTATTGTCAGACCAAACAAAAACTATATTTTTTTATGCCTTTTAAACACTATTTTAAACAACCTATATCATTTTTTTTGTAACAAATGCTAGATATTAAATTATACCGACTAATAATTTTAGAGTTGATGATAGTAGCGATGAAGAACGTGACTTTTCCGCCGATGAAGATTCATCATACACTCCTGAAGATGAAGAAGTTAAAGGAAATAAAAATAATCTACGAATTAAATCAGGGTAAGTAAGAAACATTTTATTTTTTATTTAACTGTAACAAAAGTGTTTTTCTTTTAACGTCCCTATCCCATTAACTGCAGTTAAATTTTGGTAAAAATTTAAGTCCCATCATAATTTATAAGGATAAGATGCGCAAAAATTTCCCTCTGGATACTTTAAATTGGCAAATTTATGGTAAAATATCTAAGAAAGTTTTTTCTGGCAACAAAATTCAAGGTCTTGAAATCTAAATATTTTAACGTCCCTATCCTTGTAACTGCAGTTAAATTTTGGTAAAAATTTAAGTCTCGTCATAATTTATAAGGATAAGATGCGCAAAAATTTCCCTCAGAATATTTTAAATTTGCAACTTTATGGTAAAATATCTAAGAAAGTTTTTTCTGGCAACAATATTCAAGGTCCTAAAATCTAAATATTTGAGCTTAGATTCTATAAGATTGTGTAAAATATCAGTCCTCTGGTATATACAATTTGTATAATACAAATGTATATTTTTTAGCAGATAAAACCTAAATTTGCCATAAATATATTTAAACATAGTTTTAGATCTAAATTCAACGATATTGATGAAGAAAGTGACGATTCTGATGAAGATGAAAGTGAAAAAACCTCATGCGAAATTAAGCAAGAAGAAAGGGATAGTGACTTTTCTGAAGAAGATAAAAATTCCCCACATAATGAGGAAAAAGATGAAGATGAAGCCATGTTTGAGACGAAAATTGAAGTGGAATATCATGGGGTTAAGTACAATGATGATGATGAGTCAGGGTGAGTTATTAAAAAAATATATATACAGGACGTCCTACAGGACCCGGAAATATAAACACAATGACTTTTTTGGACATAAGAAAGCTTATGAAACATTTGTCTTTGTGTGGTAATGTAAAATTAACGTTTTGTAGGACTGACAGTAAAGTTTTAAATATGGAAAACACGAAAAATACTTCCGAAAACGGGTAAGCGTTTTTTAAAATTTAAATTAACTTTTATACAGTCTTAAGGGTAAGTGGTAGGGTATGAATAACTCTTATTATTAGACAAGTTTATGGATTTTTTTTGTTTAATTTGAGTCTAGTTAGTAAACAATAAATAAAGTTTTTTTGATCTTTTGAGCTTGCTTTTTGTTTTAGGAAATCATTAAATGGCAAAAACCGTTGTTTACAATGCTCAAAAATCTATAAATCAAATAAAACCCTAAGACGTCACGTTCGAATTGAACATGGCGATCCCTTACAAAGATACAAATATAAATGTCCACATTGCCCAAAAGCTCTCACAAGGAGTGATTCTTTAAAAAGCCACATTCAATTGCGACACGGGGATCCCTCGCGAAGAAAAAAATACAAATGTCCGCATTGCCCGAACGTTTACTCAAGAAGAACTACTCTAAATCACCACGTCAAAGGCCAACACGGCGACTCAGCGGAAAGAAAAAAGTACACGTGTCCGCGTTGCGACAAAATATTCTCGCACGTGGCAGTAAAAAACGCGCACCTCCGGAAGCACGAGGTCTTCGAGGTCAACTGCCCGCAATGCCCGAATACGTTCCCGACAAAAATTAGCTTGAAACATCACATTAAAAAAAAACATGACGAACCACCACAAGAACAAGACTTCGAATGTACACAATGCGAAGTCAAATTCATCGAGAGAGATTCTTTCATCCGACACGTTAAAGTAAAACACGAAGGTTTTAAACACACGTGTCCACATTGCCCGAAAATCTATAAGTCTAGAAGACCATTAAAAGAACACGTTGAAAGCCAACACGGCGAACCTTTGCTAAGAGAAAGCTACCACTGTTCACAATGCAACAAAACATTGCCAACCAAAGAAAGTTTGAAAAGGCACAATAAATCAAGACACGGAGGTTTTAACTTTCCTTGCCCGCACTGCTCGAAAGTTTACACCAACAAGAAAAACTTGAGTAGACACCTTCAACTCAAACATGCCGTACAGAAAGAAAAACACACGTGTCCTCTGTGCGACGAAACATTCTCGACCAGGCAAGGTAGAGGCGAGCACATTGAAACAAAACACGACGGCCGCCTTTTCAAATGTCCGCATTGCCCACAAACTAGCAAAAGGAGTTCTCATTTAAAACTCCACATTCTAGGCATGCACAGCAGCGATCAAAGAAAAAAGTTAAAGTGTCCACATTGCGACAAAATTTTATCAAGCATCACTGGTATAAAAATGCACGTAAAATCAATGCACGAACGCATTAAATACAGTTGTTCGCATTGCCCAAAAACGTATACAAGCAACGGTAACCTAAAAAATCACGTTCGAATAGAACATGGCGATCCCCAAAAAAAAAATTACAAATGTCCGCAATGTGACAAATTGTTTTATCATGTGTATAGTGTGAATAAGCATGTTAAAAAAAAACATCAAGGACTTGCAGCTTAATTTGTTGAAAATAAAAATATTTTAAGAGACCCCTAAAAGCCAAGAGAACAAGTGACATTTTACTTGGAATTCCTTAGAACCCCTTGGCTTCTAGGGGCCTCATTTGTATCTATGTACAACTTGGACTTTTATTTCTAAAAACCTATCCTTTCAATAAAAAAAATCAAATCTAAGTTTGTACCAACCATAACTAATGCTGGATTTATGCAGCACAAATTAACATTAAGTTAACATTAAGAAGTTAAATGAACGTAATCCATTGGAAGCTTTTATGCAACACATTAACTTTAGAATTAAGTTAACAACCACCAACTTTTATCTTCTTAATGATAATGTTAATTTTTATTTCTCCTACGCAGGTTTGCGGCGCAATTTTTAAATAAACCGTGTCAGTAATGCCAACATACCCGAAAATAAAATGAAACTTACTGCTAAATGATTCATTTTTTATTCAATGATTGTGTTCTTTGGTTTATTGTTTGACGTGGAGTTTATAGTTTTTATATGCTAAAACGGGATTAAAACAAAATTCAAACAAACCAAAAATGTCAGATGTCAAAATTACTTTAACTTATACGCATGCTTAATTTGCTACTAATTATGCTGCATAAATATCCTCCTATTAATGTTAAATTAATCTTAATGTTAATTTGTGCTGCATAAATCCGCCATAATAAGTAGCACATTTCTAATTTAGAAATTCTAAAAGTTACACTGCAAACGGAAAAATATAGAAGTGTATAGGATGACTCCCCTTTTAAATATATATATATAGACGAAATAGAAGGCAGGCAGACGATTTAGGGGTTAAAGGGGCGGGGCAGACGCCGCTGGCCACCCCCATGCCACATCCCTTAGATTCAACACCCCAGCATTTATATCAGGGCGGCAGAAATTTGAAGAGATCAAGGGGTAGTTTTTCATTGGGAAGGATTTAAACTGTTTTTAGAGGGTTATAGCATGAAATTAGTGTTTTTTAAACCAAAAAATCATAAATACCTATTTACATCAAAACCAATCTACAAAGAAAATCTATAGTTAATCCAATCAAACACTGATAATTCATTAAATTCCTGCGTATGCAACCAAATATACACTTACGGTGTAATGTGGGTTGTCTTCACTTGTTTTCACCATAGATGGCGTTGTAGAAGTGGTCGTAGAGAACTGTCACTTCGTTTAACAAACGTCAAAATAGTAAACAATGTATTATTTTTAGTGTAATTTAACATAATTTAAGGTTAAAAATGAACAATTTTGGGGCGTATTCGTACTGGGCGGGCTTGGAGTTGAACAATTTACACAATAATCCGCCGGAGTTGGAGAATTTGGATGCCTCCGCAAAGTTTAGGTACCCCATGTTATTTAATGGGAATTTGGGGAAAAATGAGGTGAATAACGAAGTAAAAAGCGATGAGATGGTCGAGAGTAAGCATAACATTAATAATAAAGTGGAAAAAAGTCGGCCTTTTTCCTGCGATCTGTGCGGAAAGTCGTTTTTACTCAAACATCACCTAACCAGCCACACTAGGACTCATACCGGTATTAAGCCACACAAATGCGAGCAATGCGGGAAAAGCTTCACACACAAACATTGCTTGAACACCCATATGTTGCTGCATTCAAGCGAAAGACCCTACGAATGTAAAGAATGCAAAAAAAGCTTTACGTTGAAACACCATCTGATTTCACATGGACGAGTAACAACAACAATATTTGCTAAATCAATGTTTAATATGGATATTTTAGGTACATAAAAGAGCAAAACCATTTGTATGCATTGAGTGTGGACAAAGCTTTCCTCTCAAAAGACATCTAATAACTCATGGTAAATTCCATGCTGGGGAGCGACCTTTTTTGTGCACAGAATGCGGGGAATCCTTCGCACAGAAAGATCATTTGGTAAATTAATAATATTTTGTATACAGTATACTAAATTAAAAACAAAAACCAACATTTTTTAGGTTATACATTCCCGATTCCATGGCTTTAAAAACTCCTACGCCTGTCCTGATTGTGGCGCCACCTTCACGCGAAAATTTGAGTTGGTAAACCATGGAAAGATCCATGGAAAACAACCTTTATCATGTCATATATGCCATAAAGAATTTCTGCAAAATCGAACCCTAATCGCCCACATAAAGTAAGTAATAGTAATTTAACCAAATAGTATTACATATTTCGTATTTTTTAGGCTTCACACTCACACAAATCTCAACTTAACCCTCTTAAACACAATAAAAACGGAAAAAACCCCCAACCCAAAAAAATATCATTGCGACTATTGTTCAAAGTACTTCAACGCTAAACATGGGTTAATTCAGCACCAGAAGAAAAATCCAGAAGGCGCCTGCGCCCTTAAAACGCACACCTGCGAAATATGCAGCAAAAGTTTCTATCAAAAAAATCATTTGTTGTTGCACTGTCGACAGCATAACTCTAGTCAGAAGGAGACGTTTTAATATTTAATTTTAGGTTAAGTTATTGTTTTAATGATAATAAAAATAATAATAAGTTATTTAGAGTGTTTTACCTATTTATTTGAAAAATAAGGGGTTAAGAAATTGGGATTGTTTAATAAGTGATGAAAATCCCATTTAGTTATGCTCAATATAATGGAATAAACGTCAAAAAACAGTTTAAAATGTCAAAACACATTCTAGAATGTCAAAAACATTTTAGAATGTAAAATAACAAAAATTTGTGCAACTTTTAGAAAACTTTAACGATTTTTATAAAAAATAAAGAATTTACATAAAAAGTCGTGGTCTTTCTAATTATGTAAACAGTTTTAAAATAAAATAAGTATTAAACAAGTTATGAGCGATAAACCGTAAAAAAAGTTATTACGTTAACAACGCTTTAAACCCACAAAAAACATATACTCAACGTAATTATAAGTAAAACTCACCTCAATAAAGCATATTCCATCAATTCTTCAACGTTAATTTTAACAAAACAACTTAAAAACGCAATTTTAAACCGCTATAAACTAAGTCCTGCGCACTACGCCAGCGCCCCCCTTTATCATGCGGTCGAGAGGCGAAATATGCGGCCAGTTCAGAACAAAACACCATCGAGAGTTGTGACAGTTCTCCAGCAGGAAAAATCGAAGTGTTTTTAGTGGCGAATTATCGCACAACACGCGTTTGATTTGCATTAAAATCGCACTCGAAGTGTTCAAGTGACTATTTTAAATACGCATGATTTCAAAAGTGAGTTGCACCGCATGATTTTCAGATATTTTACGATGTTTCTTTGTTACTCAGCAGAGCTGACAGCCATTTTACCCCATACCGATTGTTTTTTGTTCGCGATTTTGATGATGCGTTGCTTGGCAACCTCTCTTGAGCCACTTGATTGTTGTGAATTAACGTAAATTATCGAAAAACAACAAAAATAAAGCAAACATTACATGAATAATGCGTTACAAGGGAAAAATATACAACGTTTTTGCACGTTTTGTGTTTAAATATGACTTCCTGTTGTTATTCAACGCATTTTCGATAAATTTCGATAAAAAAACAATCGATTTTACGATACCTCGCTTTGTTATGAACATCAGCTGTTTATTCGCGTTTAGAACAGACGTACGTTCATAGCTCCGTTACCTTTTAGCTTGTAGGGTTTGCTATGAGACGTAGGTGGAAATTTAAATCGATTATGTTATTAGCATGCTGCGCATTTCAACATTAGCTCGTTTTTTTCGTAGGTACTATTTGCGTTTGTTGACCTCTGAAATTTGATGTTTGCGAAATGCACACTTAAAAAATACGCATTTTCATTAACACGTCGTAATATGGTTTTCTTTTATTTATTAACTTTACGATATGTTAAATTTTCTTATATTTGAATGAATTGAATGTAAAAAATATTTTCAACAAAGATGTGGGCCTTAATTATAAATGCGGGACCCATGTATTATTTTTGCAAAAACAAAAAGCGGTGCATTTCCCAGAATTAATAAATCTTTTTGTCTTACTCCAGACAGTCAGTTAAGGTCAAAAAACGGTCACTAAACTCTGAATAAATAAAAAAAAACGTTTGATTCTCTTGTTCAAAAGGAAATCAGGAAATGCTTTGAATAAAAATCGATGCAATGAAAAATATTTTTAGATTTCCGATAAATATTTTGAATAGACTTTAAAAATAAAATTGGTGTTTGTTTTTAGAACTGTTTATTTATTTACAAAACACTACGAAATTTTTGGCAGCAACGTAGATGCTGTATTTTTAGTTGCTTCATATTTCATTGAATCGTAGTTGCATAGACCTAAGCCCTCTCGATTCGTTGTAAATTTTATCCTGATGGACGGGTTTTTGAGTTTTTTTGTTAAATTTAAAACGACAAAATGGTGAGTACAGTTTAAGTCATAAAAAATTGGCGAAAAAAAAAGAAATATACAGTCCAGACAAAATCATTGATTTTGAATGCTTTTTAAATCTTATTTCTGGGTTCAAAAAACGTCATAGTTGCGCTGATATTAACAGTGGTTTGTTTTTTGTAAATAAAGTAATATTATTGGATTCAGCGTATTTTATTTAGTAGATCTACTATATCCGTGGGTATATGTATATAAAGTTTATATTTTTTATAGTCATTACGAAACATTACCAGACATTCTAAATTTTTTACACCCACCATCAACTCTTTGTTTTTATCACATAATAACCGTTATATAATTTTTTTAGTAACCGTCTAGTAAAATTATCATTGAAATAAACAAAAACATTTTTATTGCGCGTTATATCAAGTTACGTGGAAAGATCAATATAAAAACACTAGTTGCTTGGAGGATAAAACAAAACAAAATGACAGTTGACCTCAACTGTCAAAAAGCGTATTTTCGAATTTAGTGTTATTTTCTTTGTTTTTGGGCCGATTTTAACGATTTTTTTTTTGCATTGAAATTTTTTTTATTTGTAAATAGTTATATAAATAATGTTTTTTACATATTATTAATAACTTTTTTAAAGCGGTCAGGTATTGTTCATTTTTTTAAGGTTACGTGATTGTTTGTTATGACCTTGAACTTGGCCGCGTCGATTTTCAACGTAAAATTGTTCGTTTAAGTACCAAATCAATAAAAACATATTTTTTTAATTTTATGTAATTATTTATTTACAAAACTAAACTCTTATAATAAAATTACATAAAACAGTCGCTATTAATATAATAATAATAATTTTTTCTTATATTTGTAAGAAAAAAGATTAAATCACAAAATATTCCCTACTTAGAGGTATTTTTCTGTAACAAGACTTTTATCGCTGGAAAGGTTTTTCCCTCCAAAACCTTCAAAAACGCGCCTCCACCAGTGGAAACGTGAGACAATTGACCATCGGCGTTCCATTTTGCCAAACAATAACCAGTCCTACCCCCACCAGCGACTGTGATGGTACCATTTTTTGTTGCTTTCACTATTTCGTCTAGAACAACTCTGGTACCGTTGCAGAATTTATCGTACGACACTGTACCCATCGGTCTAAAATAAAAAGTGATTATGTTTTATTTGTTTTTGCGGGTGGTAGAGCAGGTTGGAAAAAAAATCATCAAAATCGGTCCAGATATAAGGAAGTTACCAGATCGATATATTGGCGCCCAACATGTAAAAATTGCAACTTTTTTATTTATGCACCAATTTTGGGGATTTTTTGTTTGTACGCCAAAAAACGTACCTACGCTGATTTCAAAAATACCATTGAAAGTTAAAAAATATTACTAAAAAACAACCAAGAAATACAAGCATATTATGAAAAATAGCGCATTATTTATAGTAAAATTACTAAAGTCGGCCGAAAAACGACAAAGTTGCAGCAACTTTTAAAAACGTTGAGCGCCCAAATGTCAAAATCGTAACCGATTTTGTTATTTTTTGTAGGTATACTTACTTGCCAATAAAATTGCCAATGATTGAAAAAAAAATCGTCAAAATCGGTCATAATATAAGGAAGTTACCAGATTGATATATTGGAGCCCAACTTTTTCGAAAAATCGCTATAACTCCGTTGATATTGACGCGATTTTGATGAAATTTTCAGGGTAGTCAGACAAAAATACGCTCTTTCGTAAAACTTACTTACCCATTCCATAAAATGACCTTGGCTCGGGATATGGTCTTCCTGTAGACTTCAATTGTTTTGGGGCCGATGTCGCACCCGACCCAACCCGGTTCGATCTCGGTTTCGACGTCGGCCAGCTTCACTTCCCCGTTCTTCATATCGTCGGTTATGTAGAAGTCCTGTGGTATGTGTATCTTGACGTTATTTTTTTTGGCTTTGATCATGATGTTTTTGATGGTGTCTTCGAGTTCTGGGCACGTTGGGAAGTCGCCCACGTTGATGTGGTGCACGACTTTCAGGAAGTTGTAGGCTTGACCGCCACCGATTATTATCTCGTTGGCAACATTGATCATGTGGTTGAGTAGGGGGATTTTTTCCTCGCACTTGTTACCGCCCAAAATGCAGACCAAAGGTCTTGAGTTTTGCGATTGGGTTAGTACGGCCGATAGGTGGGTTAACTCCGATTTCATCAGAAAACCGGCCGCTTTTGTTTCGAATAGATCGCCCATCATGGAGCTGTGGTCTCTGTGGACAGTACCGAAAGCTTCGTTGATGTAAACATCAGCTAACCTACGTAGGGATTTTCTGAAGTTTTTGATTTCCTCTTTTGTGGCTTCGACCTTATTCCCCAGCCAGTCTTTGCCGGTCTTCTCCTCCCCCAAAGTGAACCGCAGGTTCTCCAGAACGATTATGGAACCATGCCTGGGGTATCTGCAGTACGCCTCGGTTTTTCTTGATGGTACTGGATCGGGTAGAAAGATAACATCGCGTTGCATCAACTTTTCCAAAACTTTCGCTACCTTTTCCATCGATAAATCTTTCACAACTTTACCCCCAGGTCTACCCCGGTGGCTCATGAGCACTATGGACCTACATCGATGAGCAATACAGTAGTTTATGGTTTTCAAAGACTCCTCAATCCTAAAATAGTCAGTGATGTTCCCCTCATTATCATAAGGAACGTTGTAATCAACCCGTATCAAAACACGTTTGTCAAACAGATCCAAATCATCTATGCTCATTAGGTTATTAAAATTCATTTTTCAAAAAAAACTCCCAAAGTAAATGCTTTACAACATACAAAATATTATAGACTGAAACCCGTCCATCTCGAAAAACGTTTTTATACTAAACTTAAAAGTACGGAATATTACATTTATTTACTCTAGAGTCAAATCTCATGCCACGGTAAATATTTTTTATTAAAACAATCCTCAAAACGACTGTAATCCCTCTTTAAATACGTTTTCAATTGTTCTCACACCAATTTGACGTTGATTTCTGTTTGTTCTACTTAATTTTCACTGTTTTTATTAATAAATTCAAGGCGATCGAAGAAATCAGATCATTTAGAAGTTTAGAAATATTCCATGGTTTTGATATGGAAATGCTGTAATTTAAAGAGTGTTTTTTTTTGTATAGCCTAAAATTTACATCAAATTTGCGTTAAAAATTAACGGGATTATCGCGATTAAGAAAAAAATAGGCGGTGGGCGCCAATATGTAAAAATTGCAACTTTTTTGTTTGTGCACCGATTTTGAGGATTTTTTGTTTGTACGCTAAAAGCGTACGCTGATTTCAAAAATATTATTAAAAGTTAAAAAATATTTTTAACTAAAAAGTTTATCTGAAAAAACTACCAAGGAATACAAGCATGTTGAAATTCCTAACATTATGAAAAATAGCTCATTATTTATAGTAAAACTAAAAAAAAAATCACAAAAATCGGCCCATAACCAAAAAAGTTACAGTTACAGTTGGCATTTTAAAAAAGTTGGGCGCCAATTTGTAAAAATCGTAACTTTATTGTTTGTGGGCCAATTTCGACTATTTTTTTTTATTTTTTTAAAATTCAAAAAGTAATAAAAAAAATTACAGTTATTTATAATCGTAACTTTGTTAGTAATGAATCAATTTTGATGAATTTTTCTAGGGTGTTCTAAAAAAATAACGCTTGTTTTAAAAATATTATCAAAAGTTTCAAATTATTAAAATAAAAAAAAAAATACCAAGAATTTTTTTTTTTAATCCTTTACATTTTATAGTGAACCTCCAAAAAATCTCCAAAATTGACCAAAAAACAAAATCGATTTAAAAAACTTTGGTCGCCAAAATGTAAAATTTTCAAAATCTGACTGTTTTAAGGTTATTTATTCCAAACTTCAAGGACATAAACCTCAACTATTAAAAAAATTAAAATCCCTAATTTTAGCAATATATAAATTATTATTTGCGTGGTAACAAAAAATATTGAAACCAATTTACATAAACATTAACTTAACAATCTTATATTTATTTAAATATAATCTCTTTTACGTACACAAAAATATGTATGTAAACATCGAAAAAAATAAACAAAATAAATTGCGTACCGTTGCATGAAAAATTGGTCAAAACCTTTTGTCTTGAAGTTAAATTTAGAAGTATAAATATTGTTATCTAGACACGCTTAAGTTTTGGAAAAAAAAGGTTATCTAGTACTGCAGGAAAGCAGTAAACAAGGAATCAAAAATAGACAATTATTAAAAAACTGTGCACGCACTCTGATATGTGATTTTACATTTTTTTTGGGCTTTTTAGCTTCTCCATTTTTTTCTTAAACTTTCTGTATAAAATATGAATTCTAAACTAAAATTTACAGGTGGTTTTAGCGGCGACTACATGTGGTAATTTTTTTAAATGGTACGTAATTTTTAATTCAAAAATATTAGATAGAATAAAACAATATTTTTTTTTACGTTAGCGCTATCTCATAAATTTATTTATTTATTATGCTTGCATTATGATTAGATACCAAACTTCCTTATTATTAAATTAATTAAATATTATTTTTCTGGTTAAATACATTTAACTCGTTCGTCTACTGCGCACTTTTTAAATGCAGTAGTGAAAAGTTGGATGTCATCAAATTGGCGCTTTAAATGAAAATTTTGAGCGCCCAGCTTTTTATTTAAATCGACATAACTTTCTTACCAATTGTACGATTTAAATGAAATTTGCAGGATAGGGTAATTTTTAGTTCCTGCTCTTAGTTTTTAACCGCAGGATTAAAAATTCCTGCAGGTTTAAAAAATACTGCAGGTTTAAAATTTGTATTTTTTTTCTGAAGGTGTGACCGCTCCGCATGGCCTGCCTTAGCAGTAAACGCACTCTGATATGTGAATCCAACGGCAGCTTCGAGCAGGACGCCTGCAGGGTCGCGAAATCAGCAGGAAAACGCAGAACCTTCTTGGAACGGGTAAATAATGCCCACTGACAAAAATATATTTTTTCTATTTTTTTTTTCAATGTTTAGTTGGCTGTCAGCAGGAGGCGGTTGCCATCAGCAGGACGTCGCGAAGCCACAAAAAATGGTGAAAACTTTTCAGGCCTATTTGCCGCCTCAATGCCATCGGACCTACTCCTGCATACACTGCCGCGCTCATCTCGCCAATCACGACGAGCTCATTTCCAAGGTAACGTGATTTGCAGGATTTTGGAGAAAAAAAATCGGCCCGCAAATAACAAAGTTAGGATTTTTACAAATTGGTGCCCAACTTTTTTAAATTACCTCTAATTAACTTGTTCTTTTTTCGCTAGATTTTCGTGATTTTTTTATATTTAACGCAATAAATTTTAATTTTTTTATTTTCTAAAACATTATTAAAAAAAATTGTCAAAATTAACCCACAAATAACAAAGTTACGATTTTTACAAATTGGCGCCCAACTTTTTTAAAATGCCAGTAACTGAAACTTTTTGTTTATGGGCCCATTTTTTTTATTTTTAATTATTTTTTGAATTTATAAAAAAAATTGAAAAAAATACTCGAAATTGGCCCACAAGTAACAAAGTTACGAGTTTTACAAATTAGCGCCTAACTTTTTAAAAATTTTGTGATTTTTTTTTTAGTTTTACTATAAATAATGAGCTATTTTTCATAATGTTAGGAATTTCATCATGCTTGTATTCCTTGGTTGTTTTTTTTTAGATAAATGTTTTAGTTAAACATATTTTTTAACTTTTAATAATATTTTTGAAATCAGCGTACGTTTTTAGCGTACAAACAAAAAATCCTCAAAATCGGTGCACAAACAAAAAAGTTGCAATTTTTACATATTGGCGCCCGCCGCCTATTTTTTTCTTAATCGCGATAATCCCGTTAATTCCAACGCAAATTTGATGTAAATTTTAGGCTATACAAAAAAACACTCTTTAAATTACAGCATTTCCATATTAAAACCATGGAATATTTCTAAACTTCTAAATGATCTGATTTCTTCGATCGCCTTGAATTTATTAATAAAACAGTGAAAATTAAGTATAACAAACAGTCAACGTCAAATTGGTGTAGTCGAAATTGGCCCACAAATAACAAAGTTACGAGTTTTACAAAATGGTGCCCAATATTTTTAAATATGAAAGAATCTTTAAAAAAATCGGCCCATAAGCAACAAAGGTACAATTTGTACAAATTGGCGCCCAATTTTTTTTAAATATGAAAAGCTTGACCCATAAGCAACAAAGGTACAATTTTTTACAAATTGGCGCCCAACTAAGAGATGAAAAATATGTTAACAAATTGGCGCCCAACTTTTTGAACATGCCAGTAACTGTTACTTTGTTTTCGTGGCGATTTTTTTATATTTAATTTCTTTTTGAATTTCAAAAAAAATAAAATAAATATTTGAAATTGGCCCACAGATAACAAAGTTACGATTTTTACAAATTGGCGCCCAACTTTTCTAAAATGCCCAGTAACTGTAACTTTTTGTTTTTGAGCCGATTTTTAATATTAAAATTTCTGATAAATTAAAAAAAAAATAGTCGAAATTGGCCAACAAGTAAAAAAGTTACAAATTGGCGCCTAACTTTTTTTAAATATGAAAGAAGCTTAAAAAAATCGGCCCATAAGTAACAAAGTTACAATTTTTTACAAATTGGCGCCCAGCATTTATAATCCCTGGAATTTTTGCTTTTTTTCGTCATACAATACTTTTTAGATTTAAACAAGCTTTTTAAGTTATACTAACAAAATCACGCTTTTTTCACTGACGTCATCCAGTTTAACATATCTTGAATAATAAACTTAAAATCAGTGGTGTTTTTATTTTTTTATTGCTTCGATCTGTTAAATCTCGGTTATATCTGGTTTTAATATTGTGTCTGGTGCAAATTCAACCTACAATTCGAAATGCATTATCGCGACCTATTTCTTATGCAATAATTGTAAGAATTTGCTATTTACTTTCACCTAACAATGTTATGACTGAAAAAATATAGAAAAAATGTACTCTCCCATTTAAACTCCTGTATTATCTTAAACGGATTGCAGTTTTCGAACGATTCTTTTTTTGAATTACAGAGGAATATTTTGGGATTATTTTAATGTTTTAACCAATTTTTTATCTCAATTCTTACCTAGTTAAAAGTAATTTTACTAATAATTATTGTCACTCGGTATATTATTTAAATTGCATTCTATTTTTAACTTTCTTAATAAACTCTGTTAATTTCATCGAAAAATCTTGAAAAATAAAAAAGTTGCGATGTTGCCATTTTCATTTTTTACAGTTGCAAGGATGGGATGTTAAAATTAATGTTTTTTGACGTTTCAGTCATTCCAAGGCAGTCAAGGCCGAGCATATTTATTCAATTCAGTGTAAGTATTTATTTTTTATTAATAATTTTATATTTTCACTCTTTTAGAAACTTGTTTTTGAAACGTATTATTAAAAATACATTAATTAGGTGAAAATTTATTAGAAATCCATTAATTGGTCTTGTAAAGTAATTTTTATGGTTGTTTTGTAAAATCTGGTGATTTCTAGGGTTTTTTCATTTTTAGGGTAAACGTAGGTTGCGGGCCTGCCGAGGAGCGGGTTCTACTCACAGGCCTTCACGCTGTTGCCGATATTTACTGCGAATGTTGTAAAACAACGTTGGGCTGGAAATATGTAAGTTTGCTAAATGGCAACGTCGCATTATTTTGAAATTTGTTGTTTTTTTCAGGAACACGCGTTCGAATCCAGCCAAAAATACAAAGAGGGAAAATTTATAATCGAACTAGCTCATATGATTAAAGAAAACGGGTGGGACTGACAGTTTTAAGACGTTTTAAATAAAAAAACGAAAATTTTATTAAGTGTTGAACGCGTTTCAGTGACATTTTTTCGTGGTTTTGAATGTTTTCGAGACGCAAGTGGAGCTTCGTAGGACTACTGTACGTAATTTCTCACAAAAATACGTCTTAAATAACGAAAAAAGCATTTAAACAAAGTCGCTCACAAAATGACGTTTTTATAGATTTTAGTCATTCCGTTTTTGAACTAGCGTAAAGAAAAACAATAAATTATGGTTATTTTTGGAAAAAACGTAAAAAATACGGCAAACCAAATTTTTTTTCGTCAAAATCGCTCCACTAATAACAAAGTTAGAAATATGGCAACATCGCATTTTTTAACTTCTTCATTTTTCGTCCGATTGACAAAATTTTGACATTTTTTGAGAGAACGCCCCTTCAATTTAATTAAAATCGCTCGAAAAAAAAAGGTTGCGATGTTGCCGGTTTTCGCATTTCCTCGCGCGAGCTCATTGAACCCCGTACAATGATTGGACCAATACGAATTGATTTCCCGCTCAAATTTCGTTCTCAAAGGCGTATTTTTGCCCTTGAACTTCTCTTCTTTCTCTCACATTTTTACCGATAATTTTTTCGATATAAAAAATGTTGAAAGCTAATCTGTGGTAGATGAACTGTGACTGTGTTAATGAATCTGTGGTAATGAATGATGAATATTTTGTAAAAATGACTAAAAAAAACAAGATCCCTATGCACGTGTACCTTGATTTTAATTATTTTATTTTTTGGTCGATTTGGCAACACTGTAAGGTTGCCAAGGGCTAAAAGTTAACATAAATATAATTAGGTTTGTGTATAAGGGCATATTTATTTTAAAAAATGACAAAAATTATTTTCATACACTTAAATTTTGATCATTAGATGATTTTTTTTTGGGAAAATAGTACTAGTTTTTTAATTTTTTGTCAAATGTACATATCATGCAAAAAAATCGAATTGGTGTCATTTTTCAAAATATGTTAAATTTCATGAAAAATTTTCATGAGAAATCGGCAATTTTAGGAATTTAACTAACCTTACATATACTTCGTGTAAAATGGTTTTCATTGTGTGGTTTTTTTATTATTTTTTATATGCGGCAAAATTTTTATTTTTTTTATTTCACTAGGTATATAATATATTCTGTTTTAAGAATATAAAGGATCTCATTTCGAACTTGAAATTTTATATTGGAATTTTTGTGATTTTTTGTGATATATTTTCTGCGAATTAAAAAAATAACATTATTATTCATTTTAAATGAACCTTGTTAGTAAAAATAGCTTTAATTATAATACTAGTGTTATTTTTTTAATTTTCAACCCTTTTCTTTATTTTTACCCTTAAAATGAAAACCACTAGGTTAAGATCACGCGATAAATCATAAAAATCATCAACGTGTTAAAACTTTAAACCAAAAATCCCTAGTGATAAAATCTAGGGACTTTTGCTTTAAAATTTACAACCATAATACTGCCAGTAGCGTAGAGGTGTCATATATTATCATTCATATTAATATTTTTTATTGATTTTAACTATTAAGCCAGTCCCTAGTTAATAGGGATTATAATATATTATGCAGAACACTCTGTATATCACAAAACATAAATCCTCAAATTTTGACAGGTAGTTTGTAGTTCCAACTTAACTTTGACAGATAGGCAATGTAGTAGTACCAACTGTTATTATAATAATAAATGTCACCGTGGTTTTTTGAAATTTTGGGATTTATGTTTTTATGTTTATATTAATGATATAAACAAAATGTATTTATTTAATATAAAAACTTGTTTTCTCTGTATTAAATAATAAACTTAAATAAAAATGTGCTTTATTTTATTTGGGGTAATAAAAAAAGTTATTAATATATTTTTTTATTTAAATATATAAAAAATCACATTTAATTAAATTATATGTTATATAATGGGGGACATTATTGGTGAACTAATAAAATCATATGTAGGCACTTTTATTACTACTATTATATATGATTTCATTATTTTTTCTTGATTAAAATAATATTTACAAGCTTTAATATACACTTAAAAATATAAATATTATTATTAAAAAATACACAAATATAAAGAAAAATATTTTTCATAAAACTGAAAAAATCGTTTTAGGGTTTTATTTTTTTAAAGTTGGTACACAACCGTTTTGCGCAATATATCACAGTATAATAGTACGGAACAAAAATACTAAAAAAATGTTAAAACCAGTCTTAATTTATAAAAAAAATGATATGTTAAGGCAGTTAGAGCGTATGAACACAACAAATAAATACTAATTTTTCGACATATTTCCAAAATACCCTGTATATAAATAAATTAGGTCGCTACTTTCAGAAACGACCCGTTAAAAATAATAATTTGATACCGTAACTATGATACTTAAAGGCAAAAAAAACGCTAAAAATGTCATTTTTAAATCCACTCGACACCACACCTTTATATGGCAAATTTTCTCCTATATCATTCGACTCGAAATTATTCGAACACCCCATCCAAAAAGGCGCTGACAGTTTTGGTTCCTTATGCTCCACGCGCATATGCTGATCGTTGAATTTCCAGTAATATTTTCCTTTGAAAAAATACGTTTTTCCTGCAAAAATTTTTTTTTATCCCCCAATTTTTTAATTTTTTCTCACTGTGCGTGCCACGTTTCTAAAACTTTGCCACACTGTGCGGGCGCACCTTGTGTCATATTTTTCGTAAAATGGCACGCACCATGGGACAAAGTTACAGAAACTTGTCATTTTTTAAATTAATTAATAAAATTATTACCGTCTCTCCATTGGAAGACGGCGTCTATATCCCTACCAACGCCCTTCCACATCGCCATATCTCGAGGATAGTCCAATTCCACCTTTTTTTCGCTTTCATCAAATCTAAAAAACAAGTTTTATAAAACATCTATATTTTTGTTTAAAATGGTGGTAGAAGTGCGAAACAAAAACTATATTGTAAAGAAATATTGTGGCTTTAAAATAAATACCCATTAATCACGTTATTATTGTACAGGGCCTTGTGAACTAGGTAGTAGATTTTGGCTTAAAAAATGTTTCTATGGTGTAAAATCGAGGATAAAATCGTCAAAAATGAAGATATAGTGATGAAACAAAAACTAAAATTTAGAGAAATGATGGGGGTACAAAACAAATATACATGGTTTCCAGAAATTAATATACCGGGTGAATGAAATGACGCCAAAATCAACATATTTTATTTGTTATTGTGAAGCTAACAACTAGTTGTTTTTGTACAAAATATGTTGTAAGGAAATATTTAAGCTTTGATATAATAACATATTTATTATGTTACTTTTATACAGGGCGTTATAAATCACCGTGTAAACTAGGTAGTGTATTTTTGCTTACAAAATGTTATCATGGTGTAAAATTAAGGATATAATCATCAAAAATGAAGATATGGTGGTAAAACAAAAACTAAGATGTACAGAAAAGATGGGGGTACAATATAAATATACATGGTTGCCAAAAATAAATATGGACGGTCAGTAAAATGACCCCAAAAATCAGCACAATTTTTTTGCTATTGAGAATCTAAGAACGTGTTACGTTTATTATTATACCTCTAGTTTTGTTTAAAATAATGATACAGATGTCAAACAAAAAACATGTTGTAGATAAATATTTTAGCATTAATATGATAACATATTTTGTATGTAAATATTATACAGGGCGTTGTTAATTACCGTGTAGGTAAAGTAGTGTATTTTGGGTTACAACGAGTAATATTAAGGATATCTACGTTGAAAATGAAGATATAGTGGTGAAACAAAAACCAAATTGTGAAGAAACAATGGGGGTATAAGTTAAATATAGGCTGTCACATAAATAAAATATACAGGGTGTTTAAAATCAACAAATAAATACCTCCAGTATATGTTGCCGCTGTAGAAGTAGGTGTGTCCATTATGCCCCCAGACCATGGCGCCATCTACTTTCGGTAAATCTTGTGGTAGACCTAAATGCGTTAAAGGTTTAGGATAGCCGTGGTTCAATTTTTGGCCAGTGAAAACGTAGTATTGCTTCCCAATGAAGAAAACTATCTTGTTGTCTTGTCTTTCGTAGACGGCATCTAAGTGGGTAAAATTTCTGGGTAGATCGCGCCATAACCTTGTGATTTCCGCTGGGTAACCTGGGAGAAGACCTTGGTCGCTGATCCGCCAGAAGTACTGTGGAAAAAACAGTTAAATCGGCCAGTAAGAGAATGTGATGTATCAACTTACAGCGTCTTTGAATACAAACATCTCTTTACGGATGGTAGCGACAGCGTCATAGCTGGTATCGCAAGTGTCAGGTGGTTTTTTCGATGGGTGATGTGTCGGGGTAACTTCCGGTCTTTCCGGCGCTCCGGGGCGCGGTCCGTTCCCCGGATACGGCTGCTTAGGGTGGTGTCTTGTAGGATGTTTTTCCGGATTTACTTCTGGGTAGTTGTGATGTGTATTTCTGGGGTCTTTTGTGGGGTGGTTGTAGTGTTTTTTGGTGGGGTGCATGGGTTGTTTCCTGGGGTAATAAGGCTTCTCGGTTCTCGGATAGTATACAGGGTGATTGTGACCGCTGTAGGGGTTATAGGGGTGATTTGGTCTTGGAGTGTACCTGGTTCTCGGAGCTTGAGTGGTGGTTGTGGTTGTTCTAGGTTTAGGGTGGTATTTCGGTATGTAATCCCAATTCTGACCACCATTTCGTCTACCATACAACTGCTGGATAGCATGTTTATCATCTTGAGGCAACTGATACCCTTCACCGTCACTTATCTCCTGGTACCATGGGTACATGAGCGCATCTTCCACACTGGAATGTTGCAAACCCAGCGAATGCCCGAATTCATGGGCAGCAACGTTAAATAAGTTCGTACTGCCTAGAAAAAACACCACAGTTAACATTTTAATGCTGATAACTTGACCTAACCACTCTGAATGCCATCTAAATTTAATTTCGGTTATGAGGGAGCTAAGAATAGTTTCACGCACAGGTTGTTATGTATTGAAACGTCTCTATTTTTGTTTGGACTAGAGTTACGAGTGTCGAACAAAAATTATGTTGTAGATAAATATTGTAGCTTTAATATAATTACAAATTTAATACGTCTATATTACACAGGGCGTTGTAAATCGCCGTGTAAACAAGGTAGTGTATTTTTGCTTACAAAATGGTATGGTGTAAAATCAAGGATATAATCATCAAAAATGAAGATATAGTGGTGAAACAAAAACTAAAATGTAGAGAAATGATGGGAGTACAAAATAAATATACAGGGTTACCAAAAATTAATAAAACGGGTGAATAAAATGACGCCAAAATCAACATATTATTATGGTGAAGCTAACAACAAGTTATTAAACATTTTTGTGTTTGTACAAAATATTTATACGAGTCTCAAAAAAATATATGTTGGAAGGAAATGTTTAAGCTTTGTTATGATTACACATTTATTATGTTAATTATATACAGGGCGTTAAAAATCACCGTCTAAACTAGGTAGTGTATTTTTGCTTACAAAATGTTATTATGGTGTGAAATTAAGGATATAATCATCAAAAATGAAGATATAGTGGTGAAACAAAAACTAAAATGTAGAAAAATGATGGGGGTACAAAATAAATATAGATGGTCGCCAAAAATAAATATGCACAGTCAGTAAAATTACACCAAAAATCAGCACATTTTTTTTGCTATTGCAAATATAAGAACATGTTACGTTTATTATTATATACCTCTAATTTTGTTTAAAATATTGATACGAATGTCAAACAAAAAATATGTTATAGATAAATATTTTAGCTTTAAAATGATTACATATTTTGTATGTACATATTATACAGGGCGTTGTTATTCACCGTTTAAGTAAAGTAGTGTATTTTGGCTTACAAAACTTCACCAATGAATAATATTAAGGATATCCACGTTAAAATCAAAGATATAGTGGTAAAACAAAAACCAAAATGTAGAGAAATGATCGGGGTTCAAAAGAAATATACGTAGTCACCAGATATGAATAAAAAGGGCGAGTAAAATGATGTTGAAAATCAACAATTTTTTTAGTAATTATTATAATCCTTATCTAAAATTGTTAGTCATAAAAACAAATCACATGGTGAAGTGGGCGTAGGTATATAGTTATCAACGGAAGTAATGCATGTATTTGATAACAAAAAACATATGGTTTTGATGATAATAAATAAAAAAATGTAAATCATGTTTTGGTACCTGGGTCTGGGTTTCCGTTGGTGTTCCAAATTTCATCTGAATCGAAATGGACTTCGACGCTACTTCCGCTTCCGGTTGGAAAAAAGGCGTGCGCCAGGACTTGGCCTTTGTCGTCGAAAGGAAATCGATCACCATGATCTTTACTGTATTAAAAATGAAGTTTGCTGACCAACAAAATTTTACTAAGCTTTGTACAAACTTAATAAAATATTGATGGGTCGTTAACCTGGATATTTTATTGCGTATTGAGTGAACTTAATGAAACAGTAAATTGTACAAACCTGTAAAAATGTATAATTATGTCGGCTCTACTATAATCATGCATATATCTGAACTCCAATTTGGAATGATTGGACCAAACTTGAAAGGCCTTGGTGAATATCCGTCTCACGTCATTTTGGTTCAAGTTACCCCAACTCCTAACTCTAGAAAAAATGAAAAAAAAATTGAAAAAAATTAAAATAAATTTTTTTTTTATATCTACATAATTTTAAAAAAATTGTAGATTTTTTTATCGTAATCGCTCACTCAAGGAGGTTGTGACGGATAGTAAAAACATCACACCCAAGTTGAGTGAGTCACCACAATAAAAATTACTATTGTCCATGGCTGTACCTAACATAAAATATAAAAATATGGCTATAAAACGGAAAACCAAATTTGGCACATAAATGTGAATTTTACTTAAATATCTCTATCCTCGAGATATTTACTGTCAAATTTAGTAGATAGTAAAAACAATTGAAAGTAAAATGAAAATATAACTTTTTTATTATAAGTTTTACAAAAAAAACATTCTTCTGATTGTTTAAAAAATGAGATTTCCAATAAAAAAATTTGACTTAAATGTACACCCTGTACTATTACTATTTTCCATGGCTGTACCTAACATAAAATATAAAAAAATATGGCTATAAAACGGCGTCACCTACGAAAACCAAATTTGGCACATAAATGTAAATTTTACTTAAATATCTCTATCTTTGAGAAATTTACTGTCAAATTTAGTAGATAGCTAGTAAAAACAATTGAAAGTAAAATGAAAATAAAATATATACAGAAAATATAACTTTTAAGATAGACTCAAATGAATTATAAAAGAAACTTCTAATGGACCAATTGTATAAATTGGTAAGAATTATTTTAATTTTTTCTATTAATAGAACAATATTGATTATTTTCCCTGGGCTATTAAAATTTTATAGCTGTCCGAAATTTCGTGTACAATTAACCCACATGCGTTCTAATAATTTATTTATCCCCACAATGCGGGCAAAGTTTGTGAAATATTAATAATATAATTATGTTTATAAGGGTAGCTATAGATTGTTGACTATGGGAACTCCAAAATTAATTAAAAATATTTTTAGAATCACAAATTTTATGCTTTTTATTATAACCCATAAGTACTTTACAATGAATAAGAGTTTGTAGTGTGCTGTGCTGATTAATCTGACAGACAGATGTAATCAATTATATTCCATTAGTCAAGAATTTAAACCAAGTACTTTTATTAATAATAATAATTTATTAGTTATTATAATCATAATAGTTATAGGAACATGTTATAATTAGTAGTAGGTACTTTACCTTTGTTAATGAAGAAGTCAAAATCACAAAAAAACTTTTCTTTTAACATTTGAAACGTGTTAAGTTCTGAACAACCTCAAACAGCAGTATAGAGAGTGTGCTACGCGACTGATAAGTTGAGAGGCGCAAATTTCGTTTTATAGCATATTTAGCGCTTGCGCACAACCTAAATTACCACCCAATAAAGATGAATTAATAAAAAGACTTTTAATATGATTTTATTACCATCGAGTAAATCAAATAAATCTGCAGTAATACGTTTTTGTAACGAAGAATTAATCAATTTTTCAGTATCTACCATTTAAGTTTGTTAAAAAAACATTGTTAATGACGATAAAAACAAAACAAGTTTATGATTTCCTCTTCGAATGTTTTCCCACGAATTTTCGCGAAAATTGAATGAAAAACAAAGCGGAAACATTAAAAAAAATCGGAAATAAAACTTGATAAAAAATAAAACATATTTTAAGGAGTTTCAAACCGCGTTTTAATATTAAATAAAGGAGGAAATGGAAAATTTGTTTCACCGAGAAAGAAGCAATTTACTATGTACAGGGTGTTTTATTTAGGATGTTTAAATTTTAACATGTGGTGTCAAAAAGCTGCCTGATAATTTTTGGTGTGCTTGGTACACAGAACATCGTAGATCCCTAATAGCAACAAGGGACTAATTTGCCCTTTAGACCTAAATATCATCCGATATAAATGCCAACAACATTTTTAAGGTTAAGTACACAACCCCACGTACTATATTACAACGTGATATAACAAAATTATTCGACTAATTTCAATGTGAAACAATTTTGTCGTTCGATGAAGAAAAGGCAGCATAGGCGGTAATCTAATAAGAGATACGAAGTGATGGGTCTTGGGATGGATTGATGAGGGAAATAGGGAACTAAAAGTAAGATGCGCCTGCCAAAGTGTCTGTGGTTTTCCGTCTAAGTGCTCGGTTTATATTTTTCAATCTCTCGACAGTCTCAAAGTCAATTACCCGATATGGCTTTAGGATTAAAAATTCAAACACCTTCTCGCGATTTTTTATTAGAGTTAGAGTTATACGTACTCATAATATCGATTAACTTGAACATAGTTACAAAAAAACGTCGACTAACTAAACAATAACAACTAAATTCTATGGTTCAGTGGAACAAACGGCTCGTGTACAAAAGATCGGGTAAAATTAATATTCCGTCAAATTGAATTTCAATTAATTTTTTCGCGGTCTGCACCTGACGTTATTACACCAATTACCTAATAAAAACAATTTTAATTGAATATATTTGTCCGGATTGATCCGACACTTCTGCAAAATGTCACAGACACACATACGCAAGTTAAGTTGGCCGATTTTAGTGGGACAGGGCCGGCGTCAGCGAATATGACAGTGTGGAGCTTTCTTTAGTTAATATGTATGATATGTATACATATACATTAGACGGCCAAAAAAATCGACTATTTTTTTTCTAAAGCATATCGAAAATATTGTTTGGGGTGACAAAAAAAATTATGGTGAAAGTTTCAGTCCATAATATTAATATTAAGAGGTCTATCATCGCAATTTAAGATTTTTTTTCTGAGACAGTTTTTGTCATTGAGTTTAACAAAATTGACTTAAGAATATTTCTTGAGGAAAACTGAATGTTCTACAAAAAAGGTTTGATTCTAATTTCCCGTCAGATGAACCGTTTTCTTACAATCATGCCTTAAAAATTAGTATAGTTTTACAATTTGATCTTTTAACTTTGGAATTTTGTAATTCATGTAAAAATAAGTACCCGGAAAAAACCGATAGATATTCTTATGGGAAATCAAATGCTCTACAAAAAAAGTCTCGTTTTTGGCTAAATCGGTTTTTTCTGGATACTGATTTTTACATGAATTACAAAATTCCAAAGTTAAAGATCAAAATGTAAAACTATATTTTTAAGGCATGATTTTAAGGAAAAGGTTCATCTGGGTTGGAAAAATAATTTTAACCTTTTTTCTAGAGAATTTTCTTAAAAAATATCAATTTTGTTAAACTCATTGGTTTGGGAGTTCTGAGACAAAAACTTGCTGAGGAAAAAAAAATAAAATTGCGATGATAGACCTCTTAATATTAATATTATGTACTTAAACTTTCACCATATTTTCGCTATACTTAAAAAAAATAGTTGATTTTTTTGCCCCAGTCTAATATACATTGTATATATACAGTGTGTCCACGCATGAAGTTGACAAGAGGAGGAATATCTTTAATTTTAATTCTACGAAAAAAAATAATTCTTTTTAAAAAATTCTGCTTGTCGAAAAAATGTGTTTACCATAAAAAAAAATCAGATCAGATATACAAGGTGTTAATAAATTGGGAAAACAAAATGCTTCTAAATTTTTTTGACACTATTTTTAAATTAATTGGTAAACCATTTCTTTACAATGCAGGGTGTTATGTAATAAATGTAATATATTAAAATGGGTAGTTCCTTAGGGTCCATAAAAAAGCACCTGAAACTTTTTTTCTAAATTCTAAAGACTAAAAATAATTTATAATAACCTTTATCCTACCAAAAGTACGTCACTGATCGACTAGGAAATTTAGGCTAATCTGGTTGCCTGACAAACCTCAATTATTTTAATAGTCAAGGACGCAACTGTCAAACTTTGACATTTGTGACCTCGATCAAAAAAATTGCTGTAATTTCTTTATTTATTAACGATTAACGAATTTCGACAAAATTTGAAAAGGATATAAAAAAATATAGGTACTGTTAATTGTTTTACGTATCGCTCTTTTGTGTCCCCAGGGAGGAGGCGGAGTGTTATGGAATTACAAAAATGAATTTAACATTTTACATTTATCTACTCACGAATTAAGTGATATCGTGTCGTAAAAGAATTATGGATTATATTAATTAAGACCTTTTAAAATGAGTGCTGTAAAAGGAATTTTAATTTGGTTACATTATATTCTTGAATAAAGTTAATTAATATTTTGCATTAAAGAAATTGCAATTTAATAAAAAAACATAAAATACATTTGTAGTAAAATTAAAAATCAAACAATTATTTTGGAACTAATAAAAAAAAACTGCGGCGACGAAAGGGTTGATTTGGGGGGGGATAGGGGAACGTTCGCACTCCATTCGCGCGATTGAGAGGGCGATGACGTCACAAACACGATGACAACTCGCGAGCTACACAAGCACCCTCTAGCGCACTTCACATCAAACACTTCACCTGTGCCATGGTCTGTAATATGGTGTGCCTACGAGGTTTTGTTTCGCGTAGAATAAAGGCCGAAGCTAATTAACCTCATGAAAATGTCGAAAACGTGCTTTGTCGATTTTTCCCACCACGAATTTTGAGATTGTTTAGAGTAAAAAAACATAAACAATATTTATTTTAAACATCTGTCATCTGTCAAAGTCAAGGTCAGCAGAAAAGGGGTGGATAGAGGATGGGATTCTAAGTCGAATAGTCGTTTACTGATCAGACGCACCATTAATAAGTTATTAATAAAATAAAGTAGCCAATCACAGGCGTGCTCTAGCAGAATGATTAGAGGTGGGACAACACAAACTTTTGTAGAAATGTCATGGCCATGAACGTAACATATTGTGAAATTACTTTAATTTTATTTTTTCACTGTCACTGACAGTGTTTTGGTTTTTTAGGTTCAGGAGAAATGTTCATTTTTTTTGTGTGGAACAAATAGACCTACCTTTTCTTTTTGTTATTTTTTTTTAACTTGCGAGTCGCAAGTTGCGACTTAATAAATAAGTTAATACAAGGTTGATTGTGATATACTTTTTTTTTAATACGTTATAGTATATTATGTATCAAGTTTGATAAACGCCATTTTATACACGAATTTAATTTAGGCACGAGCGAGCTTGAGTGTATAGAAAAGTTTATAAACGAGGTGCATACATACATACATATATGTATACAGGGTGTTATGTAATTAATGTTATATATTAAAATGGGTTGTTCCTTAGGGTCCATAAAGAAGCACCTGAAACTTTTTTTTCTAAATTCCAAAGTCTAAAAATAATTTATAATAACCTTTATCCTACCAAAAAGTAGGTATGCCACTGATCGACTAGGAACTTTAGGTTAGTCTGGTGGATTTATTATGTTATGGTTGGTAACAACAGTTTTTCCAAAATCTCTCAAAAAAGTTGACAAACATTGTTTAAATTTAGCTTAATTACAAAAATGACAAAATTAACAATGCAAATTGTCAATTTGGCGTTTTTATTAATTGTTGGTTATTTCATTTTTGTACTGAAGGTAAATTCAAACAAAATCTGCCAACTTTTATGACATAATCTAGTGCATTTCTTTTAAATTTTAGGTTATGTTTTCAAATTGTAAATATCTTAACTAAGGGAAGTGCTTGTGGATTTATTTACACAAATTAAATGTTTAAAGTTTAACCTGTGAACTGGTCCCAATTTCATCTGAGTAAACAGAGAAAAAAACTGATGAAAAAATTAATTTTGTGGTTATGGATTTCAAATTTCAAAGGTACTAAATTTTCTAATCATTGCTTAAGCTAATAGCTGGATCAGTAAATAAATACAGAAGGGTATTAGAGCTTTAAGGGCATAAAACTTTTGTATTTATTGAGTTTTTATTTATTTTTTGCAAGAAAAATATTTAGTTACAATTTTTTACATCTGGCAACGCATAGCTACTTTGTTGGTTGGTATCTATCATATCAGAGCTGTCATCAAACTATCAAATTAAAATTTGTGGGTTATGGTAAATTAACTTTAAAATTGACATTTGACAGTTTAAAGACAGCCCTTGTTGTGTGGATTGTGGTCACAACTTGTAAATATGAAGTTTTAAACTTCCAATTATTTTATTTTTTCAATACAAAACCCTCTCGATATCGCGCGCCTTTTTTAATAGCTCCCCCGCCATCAAATTGCCATGAGTTAATTCTGTTAGAGCCTCGTTGCCGCTCGCTGAGCGAAAACCTGGAAAATCTTGATGATTTTCGCTGGCTAAAGCTGTTAGCAATAATTACGTCGTATTAGCGAATCGCCCCCTTTTCACCCCCATCCCTGACCCCCGTTTCTCCCCCCAGCACCCTGGATAGACTACACCGCAGTGATGCCAGAGTTACTTATTTTTAAGATATCAACTTTTGTTATTTTCTTCTGTTTCTATCGCGATATTTTGTTACGTAAAGAAAATTGCACTAAAACTGTCTTAGAACCAGCAAACTTTGTTAAACATGTCAAAAAGTCCATTATATAACGAAAACTGTGTTAAAACGTAAAGTTTACTCTATTGTCTTAAATCCGACAACACTGCTCCGCATAGGAGGCGATCTCCACTAATTCAGTTAGCCTCCAATCTGAATTTTATTTTATTTTAGCTTGAGCCTTTAACAGACAAATCAAAAAAGACGCCAATTTACATGAAAAATTCCCACCCAACCGAACATTTAACATTCGTACAAATACGAGATTTTGGTCTAGCAACAACACGAGATTTTTAGTTGATTCTGTCTGAGAAAAATATTCCACGGGTGGCAACCCTGCATTGTTTGGAATTATTATTATAACACTTCGTCAAGTAGGCGACATTTAGATGAAATTTATGTCAAAAATGTTTGAAACAATAAAAATGGCATCAAATTATATTTTAAACTAAATTTCCCCCAAGACTTGGGGCCTAAGTAAAACGCCCAGACGTGTTAATAACAAGATTATAAAACAAAAGGAAGTCAACCAATCAAAATAACCCTCAAAATCAATTAAAACTTCACAATACTTTCACACCTTTTAAATTCGTTAATAATGCCAACCTAAAAACATAAAAATCTTTTTTTCACTTACGTCCAAGTCAAGTCGGTTTTGGGCCACTTGGACCCGTGCAGTGCAAATCTTTTTCTCCGCCTTCCGCTGGTCTGAACAGTTTTCTTATCGGGCATTCCGCACCGTGGTTTTTTCAGCAGTTTTTTCGTGGTTTCGTCCAAAATACCCGTCACGGGTATGTGTGCGAAATCCTAAAACACAAAACGTCACAAACCATCCGAACACCCTGTATATATCGCATAAATACCTGTAGCTCCTTTATCGCGCTCCTAATTGAATGCTCCGTGATGAAGGCACTAGCGACATCTTCCCGCTTCTCCATGTACCCGAACTGCATCAAGTAGCCTTGCTGCAACAAAACACAACCGACTTTAGCTATCGTCCACTAGATGGCGCCAGTTATACGTCAATAAGTTTATATTTAAATAAAAGGTTAATACAACCATAATAAAAACGATTAAATTTGTGTTTAAAAGAGCAAGTTTATTGGAATTATTGCTTGCTTAAATGATTATCGAGTTTTCTTGTTATACATCTTTGTTTTATGCCGATGACTAACATTTCCTTTTGTATATGAAGTGTACAGACGTAAACACAAGAAAAGTTCATTGAAAGGGGTCAAATATTAAAAAGGAAGTAATTTTTTATAATTTTACCGCATTTTTTATTGTATTTATTCAAAAAGGTTTAAAGGCGCATGCGTTAGAAAGCCGGCTGTCAATTTATGATTGCCTTTTGTTTTTAGCTGTTGACAGTTGTATTTCTACAATAAAATGTTTTCTTTTAATAAAATGTGGAGTTAAATTGTTACATTCATAGTTTTTTTTATCTAGCGGTGGTTTTGTACCTACCACAAAAAATCCATGTCATATCTCGGTAAGTCGGTTATCATTTTTTAACTTATAGGTACCTATTATTAAATGTATTGAATGCATTTTCCGTTGTAAAGTTCTTATCTATTTATAGAAATAGATTTCAACCCTAGTTGTCATTTCGTAATTTACTGCCTTCTATTTATTTTAAAATACTTACAACAAACATTTTTTAGAACTAAAATTATTAATAAAAACGAAATTAATATTATTTTGCACGTTAAGGTGCCTGTAACCGGGTAAAATTGCATTCAAAATACACCAGACGTTTATTTATAAACTTGAATTTCACCATTCACTAGTCTAACTAAACTAAATACCCTACCTACTAAAAATGCAGTTATCAAGCAGTTTATGGCAACACTAAAATTTTGACTTATCAAAGCATGCTTTGTACTTGGTTACCTAGCAACGGGGGATTTAATGGCTGCCACTAATGTCAAAAACAGAGCACCCTCGATTTTTTCGCATTTGAGATGTGAAAAGTTAAAAACAAGGTTCAAACTTGTTTTGAAGTAATAAAAAGTGTACCAATGGCTTTATTATAATGGGATCAGTGTAATAGGTTAATAACATCTTATCTCGGCTATAAAAAGATTTAAATATTGAGTTCTTTGGCAAAACCTAAGTGTTTTTCGTACTAAAAAGTTTTAGGTTTTAAGTAGGGTACTAAGTTTTTATTGTACATGTCACGTATTACATAAGTAAAAGTGTGCTAGATGGACTCAAACATGATGTAAATTAAAAATAGATCTTTAATGAATGACTCAGGGTTTTTTTGTCACAAAAAAACTCGTGTGATTCATTAAACTTAAGATGTTATATTTTAATATGATTTTTATGTTTATTATAATGTTTATATGTTTTAATCGTTTAATGTTAATATTACAAAGAAATGATAAAAAATAATTGCAAATTAAAGCTAATTAAGTGTATAAATTGCTAAAATTATCGTGGCGCCACAAAACAGTCATATACGTTTATTAATATATCCACAAAACCATTTATAAGACAAATGTGATATTTTAAAGGGATGCTAAGCAAATATATGACTTGTATTTTCGTTGGTATACCCTTAAAAACGTACTTAACTGTTAATTGCATAATGTAAGTCCTTTTAAGGCAAATCAAGTAGCCCAAAAAGGCGTGTTCAATTGTTTTGGTATGCCGAAATGCACTGTGGGGTAATTTTTGTTCTTACTTGTCAATTCTTTTAATAATTTTCAAGAATTATGACAATATATAAAATATTGTGATTCATCGGAAAACACATGTATGTCAGTTTTTTAGGTTCTCATAATGATTATACTAAAAATAAATGACTATAACAGATTTCCTCTATTATAAAAAATTAGATTAACTAACTGCGAAGGTCATACGCATGCTGGATCAAAATTAATTTAAACAATGCTTTGTATTGTGATGTTTTACTCTAAAATGATAATGATTGACCTTACTGAATGTATACGGGGGGATACAAGATTGTAGGCATTTTTTTCTTAATAATTTTTTTGTATGAATTTTTAGTGTTTATAAAAATTTTGATAAACTGTTCTTTTAACAATATTTCCTAATTTCTTTTGCTTAATTAATCTAAAAATAAAAATAGTTTTAAATACAAGTAAAAGTCTATGAATGTATTGCCACACAAGAACGAATGACTGAACACAGATTTTCTTTGTAATAATAAACAGTCGTACACCGGATATGTGCTTTTTTGTAACCCGTTTCGATTCAATGAAAAATTACTTTGCAAATAAAATGTCATTCTTATTAGTAATATTAATGTGTGTTTTTTTACTCATTCGGTTACTTTCAATCTTTATCTATGTACTAATTTTTTGTAGATAAGGTTTGGAGCGTGTCTCAAATGGAAACATAACTTCCTATTAAGAGTTATCTTTGTAAGATAAAGTAAGAAGTGAACTAAGTTAAAATATCGAAGATAAAAAAATTATATTGTTCAAGAATCATCATTTTTGCGAAATTCGGAGTAACTCAACAATTGTAGAAAAAGCAAATGCAAAAAAAGATTTTGCAATGTTCTACGCTTAGGACATTTTTGCTAAAAAAACAGTATACACCATTGAAAAGGAGACACTTTCTTGTGTGAACCCCAAAAATTTCACCAAAAAAACTCAAAAATTGTGGAAGAAACGACCGTTTTAAAAAGGTGGGCGCCAATTTTGGGACCTTATTTACAAATTAATCAATTAATTAAAATAAAATTAAAATACGATAAATTTGCGGTTATAATAACCAATAAGTGATTAATAATAAAAAAAACTGTATTTCCATCATTCTTGGTATTTTATTGAAGTCTACCGGAAGTCTGTGGAAATATAAAAATCCTAAGGTGAATTTTAATGCTTATAATCTCCAAATTGCGTTAGGAATACTAATGTTTTAAGTTTCTGCAAAATTGTATATATATTTTTTAAAATCTCACGACATTTTTGCTCCAAAATCTGTATACACCATTGGAAAAAGGAAACTTTTTCATACAAACCCTGAAAATTTCATCAAAAAATCTCAAAATTTAAAGAAGTTACAGCCATTTTCAAAAACAACATGTTGGGCGCCAATTTGTCGAAATCGCAACTCCGCTATTTCGGGTTCGATTACGACAAAATTTTCGGGGTGCCGCAAGTAAGACGAGCTGATTTCACCGCCGTCGTCCATTTTTAAGTCTCCATGCATGTTTAACGGCAATTAAGCCTTTAACATTTCGCGACATTCGGGATGATTAATGGCGGCCATGCGCTTTGTCGGTTTTATTTAATTTGGTCTGGACGAAAAAGGTGCGCGTCAAAGCGAAATTGGTTTAATAACCTCTTGACGATCGCTTAACCCCTGATTTTAGTCGAAAAAGTTAACAAATCGCTTTATAAATAACAAAGTTAAAAATTTGACAAATTGGCGCCCAACTTTTTTTTCTTGTTTATCTTCCGCAGTTTTTGAGTTTTTTTGGTGAAATTTTCAGGATTTATATAAAAAAGCGCCCTCTTTTCAATGGCGTATACTGTTTTTGGAGCAAAAATGTCAAAAGTGCGTAATTTTGCAAAATACAATTTTCTGAAAAATCGCTATATCTTTAAAAATGCTTGTTATTTTTCGTTGAAAATTTTGGGGTTTATTCCAAAAAATGTGCTCTATTCAATGTAACGGACAGTATTCGAAGCAAAAATGTCGTAAGTGCATAAATTCTCAAGTTTATTTATATTTTTATTTGGGTTACATCTCAATCGTTGTGTAACTGATAGTTAAGCCGTGTTTACGCATTTTTCTTTAGGGAATTCCATTTAGAATGACTGGCGCCTTTAAGTACAAGGGTATTATTTTTATGTCTTCTATCGATTGGATAGTTAATGCCCTTAGTGGCTTGTATCACGAAAACATGCATTTCCAGGAACAAGTCAAAGCAATTTGTCACCTCCTAACAAAAAGTTTACCAGTCAAAAGAATATTATATCTATTATAGTATACATATTATGTATATCTATAATACATTATTCATGGGTATGCATTTCTATTAACTTTTTTGACAACTCCATTGAATAATACAATTACAAGCCTATTGATTGTATTTTTTTTTGGGGTCAATCCCAAATGACTAATATAATATATGCTAACAGTAAAAATATCGATTTTGTACACACCGTTCTTTATAATTATAAAAGCTATAATTTTAACTAATTAATATCCACGTAGGGGTACAAAACAAAGAAGTTTTGTTAATTGGTTGTTCGTACTTGAAAGTTGCAATAAATTTTGTAAATATAGCGAATAACAAAGAAATTATTTATAGATATAATAATTCTCAAAATCGTTGCTTTAAGCATTTTAAAAATGTGTATAAAACATGACAATCGAAAATAGTTTTTTTGTTGTTTTGTTTGTGTCAAAATCGGCCGAGAAATAGAGAAGTTAGGATTTTGATAAAGTGGCGCCCACCTTTAATTTTTTTGATTTTTGAGAGAAAATGCTGTAATTTTTGAGATTTTTACCTGAAATTTTTTGGGGTTGTACAACAAATTGTGCTCTTTCTATCGGTGTCCATAGTTTTTAGCGCAAAAGTGTCGTATGTGCCAAAACTTCGTTTTAAAGAAATTTGATATTTTTTTTATTTTTACTTATAGTTTCAACAATTCAAATGCTATTAGCGTAAAATTTTCAGGGTATACTAAAAAAATGTTGGCCTTTCTAATGGTTTTAACAGATTTTGTTTATCTTGATTTATTTTCGTTTTTTGACCACCTGTTGATTTTCCACTGGAAAAAATCTTACCAAATCGTCTCCAAGGAATTCCCTTTTGCTCCTCCCCTGTGCACCTTCGGTAAAATCGTAGAACAACAACACAATAACAAACAACAACAACCTGGCACCGGAAAAACACTTTATTTTCACCGTTAAACACATTTTCACCAATTTTACCAGCCAATACAAACGAAAAACTTGAAAATCATTTTACTTTCATTTTTCGTTATTTTTTTTTGTTGTTTTCAGCGACTTATTTTTAGCCTGCCGCACGGAAAGAGTAATGCTCTTTGCCGAGACTTGCTACCCATACACTGAACAGCAGTGAACTAAAGCCTTCCCCCCCTACCAAGCTAGCGACTAGACTGTCACAATCATATGGTCGAATTCTGAACCTTTAACGCAAGATACATACACCCTGTTTAAAACGCATTGCACCGTGTACAGGGCTCCACAAAATTCCGATTAAAATTTTTTAAGTTTGAGAGATTAATTAAATGATACATAAAGCACAATCCACACAACAAGGTCTGTTCTATCTCGTACTAAAAATACAAAAAATCACTGCAACACTGCTCAGTTTAACGGCGGCCATTTTTGTTGTTTACAATTTTTGTGCTTTGGGTTTGTGCTCTGTTTATACAGATTAATAATCGTTTTAAACGTTGTGTCTCATAGTAAGCCTTAAAAGAGGCCTTAAAGTGCTAAGAACAACCATTTTACTCCTCTATTGTAAAAAATAAACTTTATTCCATCAGGGCTGTCATAAAACTGTCAAATGTCAATTTTAAGGTTAAATTATATATCCACAAATTAACCGTCAAATTGTCATTTGACAGCCCTGATAGAATAAGGTATATTTATTATAAAAGAGGAGTAAAATGGTTGTCCTTAGCACTTAAAGGCCTTATTTGAGGCTTACAAGTGCCTCTGTAAGAAACACAACGTTTAAAACAATATTAAACAGCACAAACCCAAAGCACAAGAATTGTAAACAACAAAAATGGCCGCAGCATGAGATAGAACAGACCTTGTTGTGTGGATTGTGGATATTATATAATTACCTAACAAGTAAATTATCAATAATAAATATTACTGTCAATTTGACAGTGTCAGAGTATTTAATTGAGGTCTTCAGCAGAAGTACCATTTTTAAATACTAAAAATACTAAATCAAACTGGCATAAGCTACCAACTTAATAAAAATATCGAGCAATGTTGCCAGTTTTGAAAATATTGACACAGAAGACTTTCATTTTACACTGTATAAAGCTTATAAACACTATTTCTTTGTTAAATAGTTGCATATAAGGAAATACTGTTAATTGTTGTTTACGTATGTAAATTTAAAATTTTTTTTGACATTATAATACTTTCCCACGTTTAATAATAAACATATAACTCTATACCTACCTATAGTAAAAATATAAGTTCAGACTATAATTTAAAATTATAACGCAATGTTTAATTAACATCAATATTATTTGATGTAAACATATTTTAAAACTTTTTTTTATTATTTATTGTTACGAAATAGATTAATAAACAAAGTCTGTATTACATCCTTTGATATATAGACGCCCATATGAGCCTTGAAGTATTTTTTTTTCGAAAATGTATATCAAAACACACAAATTTAGCATTTCACCCACTCAAAAACAAAATTGACTTATTTCCTTTTTAACTTAGTAGTGGGTAATTGATACAATGTTAATTTTAGGAACATTGAACCTATTAGTATATTAATAAATTTGAAAATTATTATTTTTATTATCTTAACACGATGATTGCGATATTTTTTCGCTGTGTTAAAAGGTTCAAGAACTTGTCTTTGTTTTAAAAAATTGAGGGAATAACATTGTTATTTATTAAAATAAAATTGAACAATTTTAAAATGCCTTCTATAGGCAACCAAGATAACACGTTTTGTTATTGTAATTGCCTAGTATTACAAACGACAAAAACGGTTCTTTCCTTATCTATGGGCATTTTTTAAATTATACTCGTACATAAATATTTATTTTGATGATAACGTGCATTTTTTTTGCAAATCTATTACCAAGGTTATTCCATCAAGTGTTTTATTATTATTTTGGCCTAAATAGTACCCAATCATTGGCGTTGATATTATTATCTAAATTTTACATTTCGAGTGATTATTCAAATGTGCAATGCCCTAATAAACCTTTTATCTTTTAAATGTGGTTTGTATAAGTACCGACCATGTAAATAAAAATATCTTTAAAGGAAGTGACACCAAAGTATAAATATTTCCTGTATATTTTTTGTGTCAACTTATTTAGGTGAGTATTTTTTAAAACTACACAAATTAGTATAATAGTATATAGTAAATAATGGTACAATTGAAAAAATGAAGTTGGGCGCCAATTTGTTAAAAATGTAACTTCGCTATTTATGGGCCGCTTTTGACGATTTTTTTGTGGGATTGTTTAAAAAAATACGCTTATTTTAAAAATGTTAATTAAACTATACAGGGTGCGCCGAGTATCCTTCCATGTAAGGTTATCTTTTTTATTTGAAAAGCTACAAGGTCGTTTAAATGAGAAAAAAGTTGCGTCATAACAAGCCTTTAAAATGAAAATAAAAAAAAATTTTAGTTCTAAAAATAGAAAATATAACTTTATATAAAAGTATATTTGGTGCACCCTGTATATTTAAATTAAAAATTTTTAAAACAAGCGTATTTTTTTAAACAATCTCGAAAAAAAATCGTAAAAATCGGTCCATAAATAACAAAATTACATTTTGTACAAATTGGCGCCCAACTTTTTTTTTAAATGTCCATATCTCCCCCAATTTGACGCCGATTATAACGAAAATATCAGGGTACGTCGAAAAAAACGCGCTTTTTGCAACACCGCATTATAAATATATAAAAAAAAAGAATTTGTAAAACTTGTTCCTAGTGGTATCTTCAATCTCTGCTTTGATATCGCGCTCGCTTACATAGAAACATGTCAGTTAGTGTGAAACGTTTTCAGAGTTAACATGTTTTGTTTTTGGTTTTAAAACGTGCTTTTGCTGTATTTGAGTACTTTGGAAGGTGTAAGTCAATATTATGACATTTTTTTTTATTATTTGAGACTACAAAGAATTTTTGTGTTAATATGTTGTTTATTTGTTTTTGCAATATTTGACTGAATAATAATTTTGTATTAAGGACAAAATCGATTTATTAAGGATTCAGGACAAATCTATTAATAAAATAAGTTTGCATGACAAAATTTAATTCATATCATGCACCTTTAAATTACTTTAAACTCAAAAATATAAAGACAATTAACAAAATTAGTCTATTCTCTAATCTAACTCAAAATAAGTAAACAAATAATATATTATACAATAAGTTTATACGCCTCAAATAAACTTTAACATTTATCAAATTAATCAAACAGTAGGTATAAAATAAATGTAATAATAGTAATTAATAAATTACCTAAGAATATTCGTTTTTTATTTTTATATTTGTATAGATAGATACTTAACATTTAACAGTGAAAGTATTATAATTCCTAAACAAAACAACAAAAATAAATTTAAAAAATAACAATTTTTATCTGTCTATTTTAATGTACATATATCCCCTAGGCATTTTCAGGGTATATTAAACAATTTCTAAATAAAAAAATTGTAAATGAATGTAATTAAAAAATTAAACCTTAAAACAATTAAAATGTTAATATCTTTAATATTCAATTTAAAACGAAGGTTAAAGTTCTTACACAGTTTATCTATAATTAACCAAATGTTAAAATATTTATAAAAATGCATTTTATTGATGACTTAGTAGTATTATTTCTTTTTATTATATTCGGTTATTACTACTTCTATCTTAGAAACAGGATACACTGTATTAATAAATTAATTTTCTTACAGGATTTAATAAAAAAACACGTTAATATGGTTTTATTAAAATTTATAATATACAGCACATACCTGTTATTGTATTCAGCTAACAGTGAGATTCATCTGGGTGGAATTCTATTTCCAAAAGAATCAGAAACAAGACAAGTTATTTCTTTGGATGGCTTATGGAATTTCGTCGTACCAAACACTCGAAAGCCTTTTGAAGGTTTCGAAGACCATTGGTATAAAAGAAGCCTAAATGAAGTAAATCCAAATCAAATCATTTTTATATTTTAACCAGCAACGATTTTTTTAGCTGGAAGACAAAAAAGTTATTCTAATGCCCGTACCATCCAGCTATAACGACATAACCACAGATCCCTCAATACGTGACCACGTCGGTATAGTCTGGTACGACCGAACATTTTTTGTACCCAAATATTGGTCCGACATTGGTCGTACATGGATTAGGTTCGAGTCTGTGTCGTATGCTGCACAAGTGGTAGGTTGAACTGAAGCTGAGGCGCTCTTTCAAACAAGCCCCATTTTGTCAAAATCCCTCCAAAACTGTAAAAGATGGCATAGCTTCAACATGTTGAAGCTATGTCAACTTTCTTAGTTACCGTTCGATTTCAACGAAATTAAGTGTGTAAACTGAAGCTGAATCCCCCTTTCAAACAAGCCTAACTTGGTTAAAATCCCCCCTACAAATTCCATAGTTTGGTACGCCGAACCTTATTTTATCAAAATATTGGTCCGATATTTGTCTTCCATGTATAAACTTCGAGTCAGTTTTAAGTATTAAAAAATGAAGCTGTGGAACTTTTTCAGTTTTCAACATATATTGACTGTAGCTGAAACGCCCTTTAAGATAAGCCTAATTTGGTCCAAATCGCTCCAAAACTGTAGAAGTTGACTTAGCTTCAAGATGTTGAAGCTATGTAAACTTTCTTATTTACCGTGCGTTTTTAACGAAATTTAGTGTGTATACTGAAGCTGAATCCCTCTTTTAAACAATCAAATCTTGGCGAAAATCACACGATAACTAGAATTTTACACAGCTACGAAGCTATGTAAACTCGCTTATTTACCGGGCGATTTCGATAAAATTTCCAGTGTTTACTAAACAAGAAACGGCGATTTTGAATTTTTCAATATTTTTTGTAGTGGATCAACGGTCAGCTAGTTATGAGCCACGAAATCGGTCATTTACCGTTCCATACCGAAATTACAAGTTTCCTGAAATTTGGAAAGGAAAATAGGGTAACTGTAGCTTGCGATAATACTTTATTAGCTGACACTATACCACAAGGGAAGGTTGGGGAGTTGGAAACTGGACGTTTAGTGCAATCTTATACATTTGATTTTTTTAATTACGCTGGTATTCATAGACCTGTAAAGCTATACACTACGCCAAAAAATTACATAGATGATATAACAGTTAATCCATTTGTTCAAGATAATAAAGCGTGGTTGGATTACAACGTCTCGATAATCAAGAATGATAACATTACATGTAGGGTAAGCTTAATTGACAAAAAAGACAATGTGGTAGCTTCAAACTTGGATGGGGAAACTCATGGTTTACTAACCATAGAAAACCCCATACTATGGTGGCCGTATCTTATGGATCCCAACCCTGGTTACCAATATAACCTAAACGTGGAGTTATATGACCAAATAAGTGGTGTTTTAATTGATAAATACGTACAAAAAGTTGGCCTTCGAAGTTTGAGTTGGGACAACACTACCTTCACAATAAACGGTAAACCTTTATATTTACATGGCTTCGGAAGACACGAGGATTCAGACATAAGGGGTAAAGGACTTGACCTACCTTTGGTCATAAGGGATTACAATTTAATACAATGGGTGGGAGCAAATGCTTACAGGACTTCACATTACCCATATGCCGAGGAAATTATGGACCTAGCTGATGAATATGGTATAATGATCATAGACGAATGCCCAGCTGTTAATACAGAGTAAGTCCCAATTTGATTGAAGCTGTGTAACTACCAAAGTTTTTTTTAATATTTTAATAACATTTATTTTATCGACTGAAGCTGAAACTATCTTTCAAACAAGCCCAATTTGGTTAAAATCACTATAAAAATGTAGAAGTTAACATAGCTTCAAGATGTTGAAGCTATGTAAACTCTTATTTACTGCTCAATTTAAACTAAATTTAGTGTGTGTGCTGAAGCTAAACTCCTCTTTTAACAAGCCTAATTTTATTAAAATCCCATGAAAACTGTAGCTTTTTCCATAGCTTCGAAGCTATGTAAACTCTCTTATTTACCGTGCGATTTTAACAAAATTTCGTGTGTGTACTGAAGCTGGACCCCTCTTTTCAACAAGCATTCAACATTTTTTCAGATTCTTTTTGGAAACCCTACTTGCAAAACATAAGGTATCTTTGACAGAACTCATAAAAAGAGATAAAAATAGGCCGAGCGTTGTTATATGGTCAGCTTCGAATGAACCCAGGACCCAATACACACAAGCAAAAGAATATTTTAAATCTGTCATCGAACATATAAAATCTATTGATAAAACACGTCCAACTACCATAGTCGAAGCTCAAAGTGTAAACGTGGTTCAATCAGTAAGAATAATATAACCAGTATAAAACTATATTTTTGTAGTCCTATTTTGTAGACATAATCAGCTTCAATAGATATAACGGTTGGTACAGCAATGGCGGTAATTTGGATATAATACCCAATGCTGTCATTTCCGAAGCTAAGGAGTGGAATAGAAAGTTTAATAAACCTGTTATAATGCAAGAATATGGTGCTGATACTTTGGAAGGCCTCCATTTCGTATGTAACTATAATTTTAAAATGTAAACACTTATAATGAAGTATTTTTAGGAACCTAATTACATTTGGTCTGAAGAATACCAGGTTCAGTTAATGTCACAACATTTTAAGGCCTTTGATTCGCTAAGAGAGGAAGGTTTTTTCATAGGGGAATTCATATGGAACTTTGCTGACTTTAAAACAGCTCAAAGTAGGCTTTCTTCTAAACAATGTTGCCTAAAAGTAATTATTTTGTTGTAGCTTATACAAGAGTTGGTGGTAATAAAAAAGGTATTTTCACGCGGAGTAGGCAACCAAAGGTGAGCGCACATCACTTACGACAAAGGTATTGGGCGCTAGCTAAAAGTTACAACAGCAACGTAACTTTACCAAACGATTTGACTAGTTATGTTATTAGTAAACATGATGAGCTGTGATATATTTTAATTGTAGTTAACAAAAGATTTTAGTATTTTTTTCGCTGTTTCATTTGAACCCAACTTGGTGCGAATCGGAGCAAAACTGTAGAAGTTAGCCTAGCTTCAAGATCTTGAAGCTATGTAAACTTTCTTATTTCCCGTGCGATTTTAACCAAATTTGGTGGTATGCTAAAGCTGAACCTCTCCTTTAAACAAGCCTGATTTGGTTAAAATCCCATAGAAGCTGTAGGATTTTACATAGCTTCGAAGCTATGTAAACTTTCTTATTTACCGTGCGATTTTAACCAAATTTGGTGGGTATGCTAAAGCTAAACCTCTCCTTTAAACAAGCATGATTTGGTTTAAATCCTATGAAAGCATGATTTGGTTTAAATCCTATGAAAACTGTGGAATTTCACATAGCTTCAAAACTTCGAAGCTATGTAACTTTCTTATTAATGGTCGGAGTTTGATGAAATTTTCATGGTTTGCTATATTGAACATGGTGATTCAAAAATATAACTAAAAATTACTTTATTAATCTTTATTCAATATAATACTTATACAATTATACAATAATATGGGTTATGTAAATTAAAATTCAAAAATTCCCTAAAGATTCTCTACTTTTTTTTCTTTAAATATGCTAGGGGCATATTTATACATATATAGCTCGTTTTTGAAAGCATAGCAGTGTCTAAGGGATAAATTAATATAGAGTAATTAGAAAAATAAAGTATACGTATTTTTTTGTCAACAAGCAGTAATATGTAATTGTCCCAATCTCCATCCAACATTTTTTCATTTTTAAAAACAATAAAACAGCTTCAAAAAGTCGTTGCTAGGTCATAGCTGTAATAATTATTTTACACATGCCAGCAACCGTAACGAAAATAAATATTGAGCTACTTACTGATCATATAATTTTTACGATTTAATATATACTTTTTTTTATTTAAAAGATGTCTGTCAAATTAGATCAGAATTGTTTTAAATTGCAAAATAAATTAATTAAATCATAAAAATTCTGTATACAGTCGCCCAATACATGCAAATAATATTAAATATTGTGCTAGAATAGAACCATTATATACATTTTTGCCAAAGTAATAGTATAATATTAACTAGAATTTCGTTATTTACAACAAAATAACAATAAATTATAATAAAATCAAAACGCCATAAAAAACGTAGTTTATTTAGTACACCATGAAAATTTCATTGAAATCGGACTTAAGATAAAAAATTTATACGGATTTTTTTAAAATATTGACATATGTCACTAAAAACAACAAATTTTGACAGCCGTCACTTGAAAACGTCACATTTTGACATGTGTCACCAAAAACGTCACATTTTGACAGCCGTCACGTAAAAACATCACCTTTTGACATCTGTCACTTAAAAACGTAACCTTTTGACAGCTGTCACTTAATACGTCACATTTTGACAGATGTCACTTAAAAAGTCACATTTTGACAGCTGTCACTTAAAGGTTAAGACGTTTTTTAGTGTGCTGTGCAATTTTTTTAACAAAACGATTTGACGTTTGTAAAAAATCGTAACTTTCTTAATAATGAAGCGATTTCGACGAAATTTTCAGTGCATACCAAAGAGAGTGCGCCAAATTTGATGACGTCATCGGATTTTAAAAACTCCTAACTGTTCGTTCGATTAAACCCTGTACAATACACCGACAAGTGCCCGTTTGTATAGCTATAATTGTGTTAACATTGCACATAAATTATTTAATTAATTGAGAGGGTTGAGGCCTTAAATATTTTTGGTAGGGGTGATAGATCTTATAATAAGCTTAAACACCGAGATCATTAAAAATAATAAGCTTTTTTTTAATTATTATTATTATATGTCATTCATACAATTCCTTGGAAAGTTGCCTATTTGAGATTTTTATTTTAAAATTAATATAACAGCTTTATGACTAGAATTTTTTCACTATGTTATGGAATCCGAAATAAATACGATTGGGTGTCGTCCTCTAAAAACAGCGTGTCATTTTTTTTAAATAAACATAGATTATACAGGGCGACATGAAATGACTCCCTGCTTAGAGTACACATCAAGCTTATGTATGTATTAGGTATTTAGTTAATAAACCAAAACAGACTCCATCGAGAGTAATTCTCATTTGTTGCTCACCGTGACCTCCGTGACCTCCTTAACGGGGTTGCTCCTCGAGGATTTCGACCTTATTTGGCCGGCCAATAGGGGGTTTATGGCGTACAGCCAATCGTGCACCTCCTTTTCGTGCAGCGTTTGGAGCAGATAGCCCCTGTGCTTCGAGACCACGCTGAAGGTGTTCGGCACGCGCACCATGGCCAACTGATCTTCCGAGTACTCGACCTGCGCGGTTGCCAAATTTATCAGCGCCCTTTCCACGGGGTCCTTTTCGTCTCTGAAGATGAAAACGTAGGGGCGACGGACAGCCTGAAAAAGTGTTTATCGGTTTCCTGAAGTTGTGTTTTTGGCATTATTAAAGGTGTTTTGCACATTAAAAATATTTTTTTAAGATCTAGAATATGGTTTAAAATTGTAAATGGGTTTTGGATATTATATAATATTTTTTTTACATTGTGAAATTTGGTTTTCGACATTTTAGGGTGTTTTATATTCTAGAATTCTAAAGTGTATGTTTAATACACTAAATTGTGTAGAGGGTTTTTTTAGGATCCAGAATATGATTTGTAAATGTGTTTTTAACAATATATAATGCTTTTTTACACTCTAAAATTTTTAATACTCTATATTGTATTTTGAGTGTTTTTTACATTATCGGATATTTCTGATATTCCATTTTAAAATTTTGGTTTTGACATTCTAGAATATAATTCAAAGTGTAAACATGTTTTTTTATAAATTTACATTCTCAGGTATTTCTGACATTCTAGAGTGTTTTTTTAAGATAAGAATATGGGTTAAAATTGTAATGTGTTTTTAAAATTATATAATGTTTTTTTACATTCTTAAATTTGTATTTTGATATTCTAAAGTGTTTAACATTTTAAAATATGGTATATGCTTTTAATACAATAAATTGTGTTTTAAGCATTCTAGAATGTGCATTTGAACCTCTACAATGTTTTTACATTCGCAGATATTTCAGGTATTCTAGAGTGTTTTTTTAAGATATAAAATATGGTTTAAAATTATAATGTGTTTTTGACATTGTATAATGTTTTTTTTACATTCTTCAATTTGGTTTTAGAAATTCTAGAATATGGTTTAAATTCTAAATATGTAATAAATAAAGAAGTGTTTTGAGAATTCTAGAAGGTGAATTTTAATTTTTTTTACATTCTCGGGTATTTCTGATATGCTAAAGTGTTTTGTAAGATCTAGAATAAGGGTTAAATTTGTAAATGTGTTTTTGACATAACAAAATGTTCTTTACATTCTAAAATTTGGTTTTTTGCATTATACAGTGTTTAACATTTGTTTGTTTTTTTTTTGAAAATTTTGACATCTGTCACTTAAATCGTCAAATTTCAATTTTGACAGCTGTCAATTAAACATAAACCATAATAATGTTTTTACATTCTAAAATATGGTTTAAATTGTAAATATGTTTTAAATACACTAAATTGTGCTTTAAAGATTCTAGAAGGTGCATTTAAAACTCTAGAGAGTTTTTTACATTCAAGAGTGTTTTGATCTAGAATATGGTTTATAATCGTAAATTTGTTTTTGACATTATATAATGTTTTTTGCATTTTTAAATTTGGTTTTTGACATTCTAGAATATGGTTTTATTTGTTTTTAATACACTAAATTGTGTTTTGAGCATTCTAAAAGGTAAATTTGAATCTTACATTCTCGGGCATTTCTGATATTCTATAGTGTTTTTGTAAGACCTAGAATATGGTTTAAATTTGTAAATGTGTTTTTGACATTACAATATTTTTGACATTTTAAAATTTGGATTTTGACATTCTACAGTGTTTAACATCCCAGAATATGGTTTTTTGAAAATTTTGACATCTGTCACTAAAATCAACAAATTTTGACAGCCGTCACTTAAAAACGTCACATTTTTAATAATAATGTTTTTTTACATTCTAAAATTTGGTTCTTGACATTCCAGAATATGGTTTAAATTGTCAATATATTATGTTATGTTATATACACTTGTGCATTTAAAACTCTAGGGTGTGATCTAGAATATGGTTTATAATTGTAAATGTATTTTTAACATTATATCATGTTTTTTACATTCTTAAATTTGGTTTTTGACATTCTAAAAGGTGCATTTGAAACTGCATAGTGTTGTTTACAATCACGGGTATTTCTGATATTCTGGAGTGTTTTTTAAAAATCTAGAATATGGTTTAAAATTGAAAATGTGTTTTTGACATTATATAATGTTTTTTACATTCTAACATTTGGTTTTTGACATTCTAGAGCGTGGTTTAAATTGTAAATTTGTTTTTAAAACCCTAAATTGTTTTTGAGTATTCCAGAGGAGCATTTGAAACTCTGGAGTATTTTTTATATTCTCTGGTATTTTTGATATTCTAGAATGTTTTTCTTATTATCTAGAATATGGTTAAAAACATGTTTTTTGTAATTTTAAAAAGTGTTTTTGACATAATATAGTGTTTTCAACATTCTAAAATTTGGTTTTTGACATTCTAGAATGTTTAACATTCTATAATATAGTTTAAGTGTTAATATGTTTTTCAAAAAATGTCACTTACCACCCATCGCTTCTTCCAGCCGTGAGTTTTGTGCTCCAAAACGTTCAAATAACCTTTTCTAGCAACAACAGGGCTGATCCTGATCTCCTCCATATCCGGGACGTACAAAACCAACTCTGGGTCTCTAGGACCCGGGCTTGAAGCCTGCAGAGCCGGGAATGGAGCGCATTCGCCTGGCAGCGGAGCTCTAAAATGTTTCCCATTCAGTATACAGCATGTACGCGTAGATATATTTTACCTTTCTGGAGAACAAAGTTCTATAGAACCGTTGCTCATGATGCTGGATATCATGCTGGTGCTCATATCGGTAATTTCGTCCGAAGGACTTGTCACATCGTTATCCTTAACCTTACTGTTGGTTTCGGCCCGACTACGGCCCTGTATCAACTTTACACACTTGTTTACCAGATCCTTTTCTGTCTCATTGTAGTCATACGAGTCCAAGTTACCTTTAATTTAGAAAAAAGTGCCATTGAGACAAATTCTAATGTGTGTTTGGAGTTTTTTTTTTAATTTCTACTTATGGCATGTTTGCTTCAAAAACAGTGTACACCTTGGGAAGAGGAAACTTTTTATATAAACTATGAAAATTTCACCAAAAAAACTCAATTTTAAAATAGTGGGCGCCAATTCGTCGAAATCGTAACTTTTTTATTTATAAAGTGATTTGGACGATTTTTTTTTACATTTTTCTGTCTCATTGTAGTCATATGAGAATAAGCTATCCTTAATTGGGAAAAAAGTGCCATTCTAATGTATGTTTAGAGTTTTTGCAAATTTACTTATGGCATGTTTGCTTCAAACAGTCACACCATTGTAAAGAGGAAACTTCTTTATATAAACCATAATAATTTCACCAAAAAAAACCTCAAAAATTGTGAAAAATACTACGATTTAAAAAAAGTGGGCGCCAATTCGTCGAAATCGTTACTTCGTTATTTATAAAGCGATTTGGACGATTTTTTTACTTTTTTTTGTCTCATTGTAGTCATACGAGTCCAAATTACCTTTAATTTTAAAAAAGTGCCATTTAGACAAAGTCAAATGTATGTTTGGAATTTTTTGCAAATTTCGGACTTATGGCATGCTTGCTTCAAAAACAGTGTATACCATTTTAAAGAGGGAACCTTTTTATATAAGCTATGAAAATTTCACAAAAAAAAACAAAAATTGTAAAAGATACAACGATTTTAAAAAAGTGGGCGCCAATTTGTCGAAATCGTAAGATCGTTATTTATAAAGCGATTGGACGATTTTTTTTACTTTTTTCTGACTCATTGTGGTCATACAAGCCCAAGTTACGTTTAATTTAAAAAAAGTGCCATTTAGACAAATTCTAATGTATGTTTAGAGTTTTTTGCAAATTTCGGACTTATGGCATGTTTGCTTCAAAAACAGTCACAGCATTGTAAAGAGTTAAATTTTTTATATAAACTATGAAAATTTCACCAAAAAAACTCAAAAATTGTGAAAGATACAACGATTTTAAAAAAGTGGGCGCCAATTCGTCGAAATCGTAACTTCGTTATTTATAAAGCGATTTGGACGATTTTTTTGTACTTTTTCCCGCCTCATTGTAGTCATACAAGTCCAACTTACCTTTAATTTTAAATAAGTGCCATTTAGACAAATTCTCATGTATGTTTGGAGTTTTTTTTGCAAATTTTGGACTTATGGCATGTTTGCATCAAACACAGTGTTCACCATTACAAAGAGGGAACATTTATATATAAACTATGAGACTTTCACCAAAAAACTCAAAAATTGTGGAAGATGCAAAGATTTAAAAAAAGTGGGCGCCAATTCGTCAAAATCGTAACTTCGTTATTTTTAAAGCGATTCGGGCGATTTTTTTTTACTTCGTCGATGTTTTAGCTTACCAGAGTTGCTGTGGTTGTTTTTGGCCACCATATTGCACACATCCTTCTCACTTTTAGTATACTCCAACTGATACTTGTTACAATTCATCGCTTTATCTAGACCGAGCCGTTCTCTGAGCATAAGGGTGTGTCGAACCCTCTCCACCTCCTCCAAACGCGTCAACTTCTCCAACTCCCATTGGTGGTCGAAAATTAGAGAGTCTCCGCGCGGCCTCCAACCGTGGAGGTTCTCTTCCCCACGTACGTAGGTTGAAGAGGTGTCCAGAACTCTCCTTTGGCGTCTCTGCACTCCTAAAAAGAAACTTGGTGCGTCAGAAAGTGTTGAAAATTGTGTTGTCGACATTCTAAATTGTGTTTTTGACATTCCAAACTGTGTTACGACTATACATGCGTTTCGGGAGGCAAGGGGGTGTGTATAGGGGCTCCAAAAGAGCACACCGGGGTTCAGGATGGGGATAACTAATCAGGGGATCTACCTGGACTACCTGCTTCACTAGCACGACGCAAAAGTATCTCGTAGACGCCGGACAGTCGGTTGGCTTCCGCGTTTCTATAGCTTCCGGAGAAGAGGTGCTTCAACGACCTTGGACCGGTTCTAGCGTCTCTGCCGTACATAACCATGCTGAGGTCTTTGGTGATGATGGCTGGTCGTCCACAATTTTCGAGCTAAAATATGTCATCCATAATATGGGAAAAAAGTGTTTTTGACATTTTAAAGTGTTAACATTCTATAATACAGTTTAAAGTGTAAATAAGTTTTAGAAACATTCTTACCTCTAAATAGGCAGATATAGTCATGAAAATCTGCTCTCCTTGCGAGGTGACTCTATTCAGTAAAGGAGAGTTATGCAGAGAGCTGTCCCAGGCGGCTTCAAACCTAAACATAACCCTATCGTCGCCTGGAATCTCCAGGTACTCCCCTGGGAATAAACCCAGCGACAGCACCGAGCTGTCGTTGTCTTCATCCAACTCAGACTCTGGGGAGTTCCTGATCCTACCCACGACGAGCTCTCTGACGTCGCGCCATTTTATTTCCGCAGCTTGGTCGTGCACTATAGTTATCCTGATGCGCCGCTGTAAACAAATATTAATAATGATATTTTTTATGATGTTTTTTAGGGAGTCAAGCTAACCTGTATACCCTGGTGTAGCAAAAACAAGCCTCTGCAGGGCAACTCGTCGCTATGTTCCACCACTACAGGGACATACTCTCCGTTTGGAGCCAACTCGCATATTTCAAACCACACAAGAACGTCTACCTTGGCGTGAATATGAGCTGGAAGGACGTAAGTTTTTTTTCATTAAGAATGCTTTCAAAAATAAAAAAGCAAACCTTTGTCTTTACCTGTACAAGGTGAGGGTAGAGCTCCGAACTTGCTGGACCTCACAGGCTGCGAAATCGGGATCGAAGGTGGCAGCATGCGTCGAGGTGGTTGCCTAACCGACCCCTCCAGCTTGGCGTCCTTGTGCAAAGGGTGTTGCTGATAGTGGCCGAAAACTTCGAACACTATCGGTTGAGTTTTGATGTACTCGATGAAGGATTTCGTGGTTGAGACCGTAATCTGTACATTGAGGGTTAGTGAGGGTTTTTTTGGCGGTGAAAACTTACGTTTTGTACGTGGTAGAATCCAAGCGGTGTGCCTTTGCCGGTGTTTTTGACCGGCTCGGTTGAAAACGCCTCGTCGTGCCTGTGTAGGAAGCTGAATACAAAGTTTTAGATTTGAGGAAAATATAGTAAGACAAACTCTTACTTGAACTGGCAGAAAATATCGGCATACTCGGTGGAAATGCCGACCGCTTGAAGCACCGTCACTCTGAAAGTGAACTCCCTCCCAACAGCTAAGTGTTCGGGGATTTCTTCTTCCTTCAGGTCGGAGGAGACAGAGCTGTCGCCTCTTCCGGAGTCGGCATCGCATTCTATCAACTCATCGAGCTTGATGGGGTCGATGTTGTTGTGACCCTCTATGACCCTCTCGTCCATGTTGTGGATGTTTCTGTCCATGATGGTCTTCTGGGCGCCCTCGAAGGCGATTCTAGCACTCTGCCTGACCCCCACTTGGTCCGAGTTGTCTTCGTCCATTACAGCCTGAACTGCGACCCTCAAGTAACCCCTGACGTCGCCTTTCTCGCTCACAACGGCCACTTTGTGTATCAACGTAACCGGGTACAGAAGGTTGCTGAGATAGACAAAACCTCTACCGACCATTCTAAACCAAGGGAACCGGTCGTAAAAAGGATCGCCCCCTGTCAGGGACTCCACGTTGTAGTCAGGGGAGGTGGGCGACATTTCCGCCTCGTTGTGGTACATCTCGCGCATCAGCTCCAATCTTTGTCTGCGGGGTAAACAGCGTGGTTTTAAACTCCCCATTCAAAGCAAGGTGGAAGAAGGGTTTGAAACAGACACGACCAAGCAAGTTATTTACTTTATTTTTGCGATAAACATTTGCCAACCATTTTGGACATTGAAAAACGTTTGGCGGTTCAACACTTCGTCGGCTTAGATTTCTCTGCGCGTGCGCTGTGGTTGTTTTAGTTTGTTACTGTTTGCACAAAATGACGTCAAAACATGTTTTTAGGAGGTTTTTGGGGAAAGTTAAGAGCGCACAGTAGGTAAAATACTTTACAATGTGGACAAAACAAAATTTGGGCAGTACCATGGTGCAAGATTGGCGAATACGTGGGAGCACCCAGTCGCCGCCATATTGATTGTTTAAATTTTGATGTAAGTTGTTTTTTGGGATATTTTAAAGTTTTTCAAGTGTATAAATGAAAATCCAATACATTGCCTTAGTATAAGCTTGTATTTGTTCCATCTGATCTATGAAAGGAAAAATCAAGTACTTACTAAAAAATTAAAATAAAATTGGAAAAAAACAATACAAATCATAGTACTTTTTACAGTGTACAGGGTGATCCCCTATAATGTCGCCCCCCTTTAACTTTTTTATTTTAAGTGTCCCAAAAAATTTAAAAGTGTGGTTATGTAGGAACTAAAAAATACTTTTTTTCTACGTATAAAGAAAATTGGAAAATTGATCAGTATACAGGGAAAAACAAAAAGTTTATTTTTTTTTAAATGGATCACCCTATATTTGAATTTATTTTTCGATTCCTTGTAAAATTCTGAGCATAATTTATATACAAACCATATACCTAAACTCAACCGTTTCTGAAATATTCGCATTCGAAATGTCATCATTAAATGTTTTTTTAAACTGTTAAAAATCAAGAAGCCTCAGTATACCAAAATTTTTATTGAAAATAAATTACTATAGTGACATTATGTCAATAAGTGTTGTTAAATAAGTAAAAATGGCGTACTCAGACAGAGAAAGACAAACTATTTCAACTTATTATCTTAAAAATAATTTAAATATTTCAGAAACGGTTGAATTTAGGTATATGGTATGATATATGAAATATGCTTAGAATTTTACAAGGAATCGAAAAATAAATTCATATATAGGGTGATCCATTGAAAAAAAAAATAACTTTTTGTTTTTCCCTGTATACTGATCAATTTTCCAATTTTCTTTATACGTAGAAAAAAAGTATTTTTTAGTTCCTACATAACCACACTTTTAATTTTTTTGGGACACTTAAAATAAAAAAGTTAAAGGGGGGCGACATTATAGGGGATCACCCTGTACAAGAAATAGTACAAAACCAAGAAGCTTAATATGATCTTTGAAGACAAACCTTAACAGAATATTAAACTCTAAGAAATCAAGTACTGCATTGTAAGAAATTAAAGTAAAATTTGAAAAACAAAATTAATAAAAATTAAATCTTGTTTTTGCATTGTGCAGAAAATGTGCCAAGGCAAGGAAGCTAATGATACAATTTTGTAATAAATAAATTTATAAAAAATAAAGTTCATTTTTTTTATCTGGACTGCGGCAACGTTGCAAATTTAGGGTTTTGGTTGGTAAATACAGTTGTGGTTATGTATAAATTATTGTAGGTTACATTGTGCAGTTGTCAAGTTGAATTGTCAAAATTCGTAGTTAAAAATGCAATTAATTTGGCTTTGGTGGTGCTTGGATGAGTAAACTCATATAAAAAAAGTAGTTAAATATAGGTTGCTTTACGGCCCAGAAGAGAAAGTATTCCTAGCGGATAATAAACTTCGCTTTGAAAAGAATTTATATAAAAGAAATTAAATTTTTTTTGTGAACGTAAATGGAGTCCAATGTGAAAATAATGTGTGATGTAATATTTATAAAACCAAATTCGTTACTTTTTTACTCCAAAAATGTCCATAAGGCGATGTACTTTTTCTTTCATTGTGGCATTTGGCATAATTTCATCAAAATGAAGTTTTGCCTTCAAAAGGGCTTTTACATTCGAATTCGTTGCTATTATTTTTGGCATAATTATCTTTTTATTTATAATTGACAAGGAAATTATCAATAATAAATATTATTGTCAATTTGACAGTGTCATATTTAATTAAATTCTTCAGCAGAAGTACCATTTTTAAATACTAAAAATACTAAGTCAAACTGGCATAAGCCACCAACCTAACAAAAAAACGAGTCCAGATAAAAAAATAAACTGTATGTTCTTAACATTTTTCTTGCAATGTTAATGTTGTTACTTGTCACTTTTCATGTAAACTAAGATGGCCTTGTTTTCTTGTACCACGGGTGGTCCCCATTCAAAGCAAGGTAGAAGAGAAAGGCTTAAAACAGGCAAGTAAATTCTACGAGTTGGTAAAGTTATTTACTTTATTTTTGCGATAAACAGGGGCGCCAACCATTTTGGACAGCTCGTCAAACATTGAAAAACGTTTGGCGGTTCGACACTCCGCCGACTTAGATCTTCTCTGCGCGTGCGCTGTAGTTGTTTTAGGTTGTTACTGTTTACACAAAACGACGTCAAAACATGTTTTTGGGCAAAGTTAAGAGCGCACAGTGGGTAAAATACTTTTAAATGTGGACAAAATTCTTACCGTAGTTTATCCAACGACCAATAATGGGTGGCGCCATTTTTCGTATCTTGTACTTCAACTGCCACAATAGTGCGCGGCACATTGACATCTTCTTCTTGGTCGTAGTCTATGCGGGGTTTTAGATCGGGGGGCAAGGGGGAGTACAAAGTGTCGGTGAGAAGGGTGAATTGGAATTGAACCTAAAAATAAAAATTTGACTTTTTTCTCTTCAAATTCGATTTAATTTACTTTTTTCTTTAACTCCACAGAAATAGCGTTGGCTTCTTTAAGGAAAATCGCGTTTCCCCACAAATCGTCTCTAAGCGACGTGAATTGATGGTGCTTCCATTTTCGCCACGCGTGTGCAGCCATTTCGAACTCTTTTTCGGTCCAGGTACATTCTGTGTCAAACAGTGGATTAACTGTGAAAAAATTCAGTAAAAATGCGGTACAAGCAAATAATAAAACAAAAAAAAAACAATTTAAATAACTGGGCGCCAAAATATATGGGTGAATCCCCCAAGTGAAAATGATTATTTTTGGTTGTTTCACTGTTAGTCTAGAATGGGGTTCTTGGGAAGCCATCAGGTCTAGTAATAACATAACATAACATAAGTGGTTCTGGTTTTGCTTATTTAAAATGATTAAAGCGCCATCCGTTGCACTACATAAATGGTTATAAAAATTATTATATAATTTTTAATAATATTTTATATTTGATTCGATTGTTTTGGATGTGTTTGATTTACTTAGTGAACTGATATTTTTAGTATACTTTTACTACCTCAGATATTTGAAAACATATAGGTTAACCTAGAAAGAGTAACAGTCACGGAGGATAGGTTTTAGACTTTTAAAGCATTGTAAAAAATAATTAATTGCGGTTAAAAATCTGGAACCTACTTAATTATGAAAGATCAAAACACAATAAAAGTGTAGGTCAAACTCATTTAGTTTTATTAAATATCACGGGGGACATTTCGTGAGATTCACCCATATAAAAACGTCATTTTGACATTTTGTGATAAAACGACATAAAATAGAAAAAAAATAGAGCGACTACTAAAGCGTTTAAAAAAAAATGGAATCTTACCGAAAATGTCATCGTCATTATTAAAATCTTCAGGGGTGTACGAACTGTACATCGACATCGTCATGCTTTGCTCCTCCACTTGTTTTTGTAGGGCGTCGATTCGTGCCTCGTAATTCTGTTCGAAAAAAAAAATTATCGCCACTTTTTCGAAGTTGTGACTCAATGTGCGATTTTTTGGGAAAAACCATTTATAGACCAAAATTTGTGATTTTTTTGACGGATTTTATTTTTTCATTACATTTCAACTAGAATAAAAAAAAATCCATCCAAAAAAACCTTAATTTGACCTTGATAAAACGCTTTGAAGTCTGCAAATATCGCACATGGGGTCAAACTTCGCGCGAAAATCTCACCTTTCTTTGCTCCTCGAACAGCTGATCGGCGGTCTCTTTTTCCTTCCGGTACTGCTCCTCCAGGGTGACCAACTTTTTCGCCATTTCCGCCTTCAAATCCACCCCCTGCTTCTCCAACAACTCGTTCTGAGCGAAGGACCAATCGACGGTCTCCAGGGGCGTGTTTTTTTCGCGCATCTCGCGCGCCTCGTCCGGATGCGTGAACCGGAACACGTGCGTCTTGCCGAGGATCACGCGACTTCCGGTCGTCAGCAAAATTGGTTCGGTCACCTAGAAAAAAATTGCCATTTTTTAAAATTTTTGTCCCTCTGTGCGTTTGCCGAGTTTTCTTGGATCTGTGCCACTGTGCGAAGATTAATGATCGTTTTAAACGTTCTGCATTTTAAGTAAAATATTACTTAATTTAAGTAAATATTTTGTTAAATTAACCTTAAAAATTTTCTTTGAAGTAAAACTTTATTTATATTTTTGTTATTTTTACCTATTTTAATAACCCTTAAGTTTCAACACTTTAAAGTATTATGAGGGACGTAATTTTTACGAAAGAAAATTACTTATAAGAGTATTTTACCTGAAGGAAAATTTAACGGTAACTTTAACGTCCGAATTTTTACTTAATGGTAAATGGTACTCATAAGTCATAATTTTACAATATGAAGACCACTTTATAACCGTAAATAATTCCTATTCGCCTGGTATTTTTTAGGGTTATTGGTGGTAATAAATACTATTAATATTGACTAAACAAGGAAAAATAAGCTTAAAGTGAAAAATAAAACTTTAAGAAAAAAATTTTTTCAGGTCGCCATAATGAGTTTTTTACTATCTAAACATTTATATAAAAATTTTTCATAAATATTTTTCTAAAATATAATAAGGAAAGTTTTAGTTATTAAAAAATAATTAAAACTAAATGATCTTTAAAACATTTTATAAAATTTTGTATGTTTAAAGTTTTGTTGAATTTTTACCCAAGCAATAATTTTTCTTAAACCCGTAAAACATTTAGAGGGCATATAATTTTTAAGATGTAACGTGTATATTTTTATCGATAAAATAATGTGCGTTTGAGTTTTAATGCAAAATATTATTAGTTTTGACAATTTAAGTTATATTTTTTAATTTTACTTTAGGGTGGTCTTTATAACTTTGTAAGTACCATTTTCTAAAATATAAATTAAAAGAACAAAGAAATTACGAATGTCAATGTTTTAGAAAGAGAGAGCAAACACTTAGTAATTATGGCGTTATATTTACGTAAATTTGTGGCATTTATATTGTTTTTATTATGTTATTCTTTTAGTAGATCAAAAAGGTTATATGTAGGTAAAATAACGAAATAAACCATTCCCCAAATTTGGTAATTTTTCGTATCTATACCGTTATAAAGCCGTTTTGGTTAACCGTAAAAAATACTTTAAAGTTGACTTGGTAGTTATTTAATGCGCGTAACAAAATAGTGTCGATTGTGTTGGCAAGTAAAAAATACTAACCTCTCGACCATTGACGTAGATTAAAGCGCCATTAAGGGGCACCAACGTCACTTTGTTATCCTTATTTTCAAAAACGCAATGCTCAGATTTTATGTGAGAACCTGACAATTGAACGTCTTGAGGGATATTAGCTTCGGCTGAACCGATTCTGGTAAAACCATCCTGAAAAAAACATGTATAAAAAAACGTGTTTAAACAATAAAAAAACCTCACTTTTATGTAGTATATCAAACATTCAGACATGAACGGATCTTCGTTCAAGTTCACCAAATGCGGTGTTCTTTTGGGGGAGAAGACCCCTACAGTGTTGCCATCCTCCTTGACGGCCACGCCCATTTCGGCGAAGACGGCCTCGCGTTGAACCCGAATAGCCTCGGTTTTCTTCAACTTTTCCTCCCAAGTTTCGTTCAGCTCCGCTATCAACTTTTCCGAAGCTTGAAGCTGATCGACAGCTTCCTCGGCTATCGTGGTCGACGTAGTACGCGACCTCGAGTTTTCCTTGTTGTTCCTGGCAACCATGTTTTCTTCTGATCCTAGGAGGTAAAAAGTTATTTTCGCTATTTTAATTTTTTTAGTTGCCGGGATGTTGCTGAAGCTTATGATTTGGAAAAATAAATGTTTTTTATAGTGACGGCCCCATTTTTGAAGGTTTCCCAATTTTTTTTGTTCTGACACAATGTGCGATTTTCGGTTTTTGGAGGTTTGTATAGAGATTTTTTAACTTTTTTGATCCATTTTGTGTCAAATTATCTGACAAAAACATAAATCATCGAAAAACATTTTTTTTCATTGGAAATGGCGTTTAAAAAAAACGCACATAGTGCCAGAAGTTTAAAAAATTGGCATTATTCGTAAAATCTAAAAATAAAAAACACTGGGACCGCCATTGCATGTATATTTTTGTGTAAGCAAGACCCAAGTCAAACATTGCACAACATTCCTAAGTATTTGTATGATAACAATCACGTTGTGATTCAAACAAACTTTTTTTAATGTATTGGAGGTGCCAAAGCATTTTGTAACGTTCTTCGACATGTAATACTTACTGGCCGAACTTTTTTCGTACTTAATTTTACCATCTGCCCCTATGTTGCGTAAAAGTTTACAAAAGTACATTATAATGAAGTCAGAAAAAATGATTTTAGAGGTTTGCCAATCATAAAAAGGTATAATTTTGTGTCAGGTGGTTTAAATAATATTTTTTTCACCGGGGTGAAAAAAAAATGATTTTTTTTAATAAATAAAAAAAAGTGTTTGATGCTGACCTTCTTGAACTTCAATGCCCTCTGCCTTGAGTAGTTCGCGCAATTTCATAATCTCCTCCTTGAGTTCTCTGATAAGTTTAGCATTCGCGTCTTCATTGACCACAGCCTTGCAGACAATCTGTTTGGCTCTATCAGCGTATCTAAAAAAAAATGTGCCAAAAGTTTTGTGTTTTGTCCTTATGTGCGGTTTTTCGAGATTTCTAGGCTAAACAAGGATTATTTTATTTTGTGTTGGTATGTCTTATAAAATCATAATCCATCACAAAAACAAAAAAATTTGGCGTGGAAATGGGTTTTTCGAAAAAAGCGCACATAGGGTCAAAACTTCGAAAAAGTGGCAAATATTAATAAAAATAGCAATAATTACCTTAGAGTCGACAATGTTTCATCGTAATTAATATCAGCAGGCGATATAGCAGCAATCATGGCAGTCTTACTGTTACCACCCAAATTTTCTCTTAACAACCATGTCAAAACAGAATCTCTATACGGTATAAAATCAGCCTTTTTCGATTTTTTATTCTTTGTTGCCTATAAATAAAAAAAAAATAATAATAAAATAAAAATTATGTTAAAAACAGTCAAAAACTTACCGACTAAAAGCAGCGTAATAAAACAGTCAAAATATTAAAACACGTTCTTAAAAAAACACACAAAAAATACTCACGATTTCAGCCAAAGCAGAAATAACTTTTCCCAGCGTGGTTAAACTTTTGTTGATATTGGCGCCCTCCTTGAGACGCGTTCCCTTCGCCCCCGTAGAATCTGCACGTTCCGAGCCCGCTAGATCCACCAGTGAGATCTTGGAAACTTTTTCTGTGGTCAATTGTGTTGTATCGTCATATCTGAAAGAGTTTTTTAGATTTTTACAGCCGTTTTAGGAGGCAACATGTTTTTTCTTGATATGTAAAAATTTGATAAAAGCCTATTAAAAAATCAAGATTTGTGTATTTTTGAAAAAGCGCACATTGGGACCAAAGTGCAAAACTTTCAAGGTCATTTTTTTCTTATCTGTGTTTAAAAGTTATGTAGAATATGAATCCGTCAAAATTAATCTAGAGCAAAAAATTAAATTTTGAAAAGCCGCACATTGGGTCAAAAATATAAAAATTATAATTTTTGGTGAAATTTTTTATCAAAAAAATCTTCACCTGTCAAAAAATTAATAATTATGATTAAGAAATACGATTTTTGTCGAATTTATTATAAAATGTCGGTGAATCATGTAAGAAAATATAATTTAAAATATTACTAAAATGTTTTTGAATAAAATCCTTGAAAAAATACAAAATTTGAGTTAAAAATATTTATTTCTAAAAAACCTCACATTGGGACCAATCAAATTTTGACGTTTTTTTCATGTATTTAAAAATTATGTAGAACTTTGTTATCTACGATGTAGAATTAATAAAATTAATAAAATTAATTTAGGGCTAAACATATAATTTTAAAAAACCGCACATTGGGTCAAAAATATAAAAAAATGGCAATATTAAATTTGTGTTCTTCCCTGTATTTAAAAATTATGTAGAATATGAATCCGTCAAAATTAATAGGGCTAAAAATATAATTTAACAAAAACGCACATTGGGTCAAAAATATAAAAAATTGACAATTGTTAAATTTGTGTTTGTGTATAAAATGTTTTTTATTGATATGTATAATTGAAGATTTGAGTTAAAAATGTTTTTTTTAAACCCACAAAGTGCAAAATCGTAAAGTAGTTTTTCAAGGTCAAAATTTTTTACGGCTTTTTCTTTCCTGTATTTAAAAATTATGTAGAATATGAATCCGTCAAAATTAATTTAGGGCCAAGAAAATTATTTTGAAAAACCGCACATTGTGTCAAAATATAAAAAATTGGCAAATTTTAAATTTGTGTATAAAATGTATGTAGGAACTGAACTCGCTAAACAATTTTAAATTTTGGTCAAATAATGTGTCAAAAAAATCTTCACCTGTCAAAATAATTACCAATTAAGATTAAGAAATGAGATTTTTGTCGAATTTATTATAAAATGTATTTTTATTGATTCGTCAAAATGTCAAAAACGTTTAAAAATTTCAATAAAATAATTTGGAAATGTAGTTTTTCAAGGTCAAAATTTGAGATTTCTTGACGTTTTTTTAATGTAACCAAGTTTAAAAAGTGTCTAGAATATGAATCCGTCAAAAAAATCATTTAATACGGGTTGGAAATACGATTTTTTTAAAAACGCACATTGGGGCAAAACTAAAAAAAATTGGCAAAAGTTCATTTTTTGCTGTTTTGTCGAAACTGTAGTCAAAGAAAAATCGCACATAGGCCAGAAGTGTGAAAACGTGGCGACTTACCTTTGTTGTGTGAAAAAAATGGTGAAAACTGCATGTGATCTAGAACTGGTCTCGTTCATGTTTGTAGCTGCTACAGTTCTAGCCTTATTTCCCTCGTCTATCAAGTAATGGATGTCCTCGTAACTCGTGACGGCCAATTTACTTAAATCTTCCACATACGGGCCGAGCAATGGATGTTCCCGCACCCTTAAGTTGCCCTTGTTCTTCGGATTCAACAAATCTCTCACACGCTCGCAGTAGATCTCCATGTAACTCACTTCCACGGAGTATTTTATGTCAGCGGAGCTGTTGGTGCGAATCTTCAAGAACAAGTCCTGGCATATTTGCGGAATGATCCCCTCCTGGGCTTCCTCCTGCTTGCCCATCATCGTGTAAGATTTCCCCGCGCCCGTCTGCCCGTAAGCGAATATGCAGACGTTGTAACCGTCAAACGAGTGCTGTAGCATCTCTTCGCCGATGTCTTTGTAGACGACCAGTTGCGAAGAGAATTCCGGGTCGCTTTCCTGCGATGAGAAAAATTAGCCTCTGAACCAATGTGCGGTTTTATGGCATAAAACAAAAACCGCACATTGCTTCAGAACATCGAAATCGTGGCACTTACGTCATGCGACCAGTACGAGTAATCGAAGTTGAACGAGTGGATTTTTTGAGCATCTTTTCTTTCATCACACTTGGGATTTTGAATGGCTGAAAAGAATTGTCAAGATTTTTTTTTTCGTAGAGAAAATGGCTTACTTGTTGTATTTCCACCCATTTTTATAATGCACCGTGCGTCCCTTGCTATTTCCCTATTGTTGAAGGGCCTAACCCTTACAGCTACCTTAACAGACGACATCTTGGATTTTTTCCTTTAATTTACTGAAAAAAAACGAAAAATCTAAATTTACGGAAATAACTAGATTTAAGTTGGCAATATTGCTGTACCGTTTCATATTATTGAGTTGGTAGTACTAAAGTTACTATATCATTAAAAATTTTACTATACCCAGAGATATCTCTGCTATACGGTATAGCCTATACCTATACCGGATTTCTATTCATCACAAAATATTCAATGACTATGAAGGTAAAAACATTCACAAAATACCTATAAGAGCAGTATTCGGACATAAGCTGCGAATATAAAAGATCAATGTGCACTTTTGGTGTTCATATCCTAAACTAATCGATTTTACTAAATTATTTAAAGGTAACTTTTATATTTCGTATACCCCAGGGTAATATATTTTTTTTACCACATTTAATATATTATTCAAAGGCTGTAATGGAAGTAAATACATTTTTAATTATACTTAAAATTTTATAACGGGTCTTTAAATGAAAAAGGCATTTTTATGTTCAATGTATATACAGGGTGTCTAATAAATTGTCATTGTCAATTACCACTGGATGTCACTGACCTATCCTATATATACACTCACAGGCAAAATAATCGATCCACACAAATTTTCGATGAATTTCAATCGCAAATAACTTTTTTATTTGTTTTCGGATTTAAACAAATATTAAAGAATATTGTAGATACATTAATGGAGAATTGCTAAAAAATACACGTACGTTTATAATATACAGGTTTAAACAAAAAGATGTTTTTTACCATAATTTTAAGACACTCTACAGCTGTAGAGTGGCAAAACCGTATATTGTTCTAAATTAAGTTTTATTTATCAAGTCACATCTATTTTTAACAGTTTTGTTTTTGGTTCACCTTGATATATTTAATTTGTGGAAAATATGGATTTTTAAAAATTAACATTGCAATTTCCAATATTTTTCCTGTATGAAGAACTAAGGTTGCTATGGTCCATCCATAGCCTATGGAGGATGACAGTGACAGTTTTGTTGAATCATCCCATACTTGGACATGTCATATACAGCTTTCAAAAGCTATCAAATTGTTTTTTGTAAATTAATGTGTTAATTTTGAGGTGTCTTCTTACTTTTAAAAATGTCTCCGACTGATGTTGCCCTTTGTACTTTACTTCTTGGGACCTTTAAAACACTTGCCACGTAATACTGTGACCGTCCATCCTGGATTAAATCAGAGCTGTCACAAGTCACTTCTAAAAAGACTTAAGTCATAAGTCGTAAGTCTTTTTTGAAATAAAAATGACTTAAGTCTTAAGTCATTTTTTCTATAAAACAGAAAAGACTTAAGTCTTTTTTTTAAGCCTTAAGTCTTATTAAAAATGACTTAAATCAAATATATAACGACTTAAATCTAGAAAAAGACTTAAGTCATTTTTAGGGACTTAAGTCCCTAAAAATACTTAAGTCGTTTTTAGATTTAAGTCGTTTTTTAGATTTAAGTCGAAAAAAAAAGATTTAAGTAAAAAAAAACAAATACCTTACTCATTTTGAGAGATTCAAAACAAGATCAAAGAGTATATATCTAATAGATACTCTTTGACAAGACTTTTAATGAAATTTATTTTTAAAATAGGTGCATAACAAAAAGTTGATCACTTAATTAGTCAATTATTATTATTATTAATATTGTACTGGCACACAGTGTTGGAAATGCCCAAAAAGCTGGCCAAAACCTATAAAATCTACATTAATATATTTGAGTAAATTTAATTTTTTTTCATTAGTAAACTAATAAAGGTATGTTAAAAACATATAACAAATTTCTTAAGTTTCATAACTGATTTAGTAGAGAAGGTCAAATTTGAACTTTCTTGAAGTGATTTCAAGTAACCAGTAAAAAAGGTACTTTTTTAAATATTATTTTTTTAATTATCATTAAAGTATAATATACTATTATGCTATTTTTTATTACTTATTTTGGGTGAATAAAACGATTTTTTAGTGAAAACATATTTATTATATATGTAACCAAACTTATGTAAAATTATTGTAATTTTTAAAAAATGATTTTGTTTAGGACATCCACGAGCCGGAGCTCAAATTTTGTCATGATCAGAAAGTTAGTACCTTGGTGTGTTAGTACCATGAAAAATTGGATCCGGTTTGATCCGGTCCTGGGTGCTATCCATAAATTACAGTTTGCTTATTTAAAACTTATGTGAAAATTGTTTAATAACTTTTAAAGTAACTTAATAATTTTTTAATATAAAAAATACTAGTTATAACTATAGTTAACTTTTAAACACCTTTGGCGTATTTAGTTCGCCAGGGACGGACTAGCTTTAATTTGATTATGTCAATTTTTTCAAGCGTGTAACATTGTTACACTGTAACAATTTAAGCCTCTATACATGGTGCTGCATGAGGAAACCGACATAGCTTAAGGGTAGGTGTAGTTTTCAGAGGTGAATCCGAATCTGGCTTTGAAAAAATTCGGAGGTCCTTCGTTTAAGAGTTACAGGGTGATTTATGTATTTTGTCGAAAATTTTGAAAAATCATATCTTGGGAATGGATCAATAGAATCGCATAAAATTTTATATACATACTTAAGTATAAAGTACCTACACAGCGCTGTATCGGACATTCAAAAAAAAATCAGGACCGGACCTCAAATTTTTTTTTATTTTTTTCCCACTAAAAACACCTTGTATATATTTTTTTCTAAAATCCAAAGTCATTTTCTGAAAAGTTCTACCAAAATGGCCAATAAAATTTAACGGCACCATCAAGGCGTTTCAAAAAAAATTATCGAAACATTTTACAGTTTTTAATTTTTCTTCAACTTTTCGAATATTCCAATAAATCAGCAAGCTAACCGATTTGAAATCATCAGTTAAGGTTTTTTTGCAATTTAAAAAAATGTTTACTTATTCTAGTGAAGCTTCAAGACCGTAATTATTTGTTTTGTGGACATTAAAAAAAATTGAGTAAAAAATATTTTATCCATAATCACACCAAAAAATTATTAAATCATTATTTATTTATTTTTTTAAGAATTTAATTCTTATCTATTTTGTCATTTTAAAAAGAATTAAATCATTATTTTGACTTAAGTCATTTTAAAAAGATTTAAATCATTTTTAGACTTAAGTCATTTTAAAAAGATTTAAATCATTTTTAGACTTAAGTCATTTTAAAAAGACTTAAGTCATTTTTTTGTTTTAAGTCATTTTAAAAAGACTTAAGTCCTTACGCAAATGTAGAAAAAGCTTAATAATACAAATCATTTTGAAAATGACTTAAGTCTTAAGTCTCAAGTCGTCCAAAAAAAAAGAGACTTAAATCAAATGACTTAAGTCACAAAAATGACTTAAGTTAAAAAAAAGACTTAAGCTTTCTGATGTCTGACAGCTCTGGATTAAATTAATGGCTCTGGCAACATTAGTCGGAGACATATCCATTTTTTAAAGTACGAAGACACCTCAAAATTTAAACATTAATTTGCAAAAAACAATTTGATAGATTTTGAAAGCCGTGTATGACATGTCCAAGTATGGGATGATTCAACAAAACTGTCACTGTCATTCTCCATAGCCTATGGATGGACCATAGCAACCTTAGTTCTTCATACAGAAAAATATTGGAAATTGCAATGTTTTTTAAAAAAATCCATATTTTCCACAAAAATAAATATATCGAGGTGAACCAAAAACAAAACTGTTAAGAATAGATGTGACTTGATAAATAAAACTTAATTTAGAACAATTTACGGTTTATGGTAAAAAACATCTTTTTGTTTAAACTTGTATATTATAAACGTACGTCTATTTTTTGGTAATTTTTTAAAATGTGAGCGATTGTTCAATAATTTATCTACAATATTTTTTAATATTCGTTTAAATCCGACATCAAATAAAAAAGTTATTTGCGATTGAAATTCATCGAAAATTTGTGTGGATCGATTATTTTGAGTGTAGATATATATCATATATATATTCTTTTTACCTCTGAAAACAATGATATTATTCATCAAAGCAAAAACGAAACAGGTATGCGCACATATCATAAATCATACGGGTATGATGGCAAGAGCGACACATCATAATTTTCACTGTGCAACATATTTTGCGTCAGTTGCCATAGGTCAGAAACAACCAGTGGCGACCCAAAATTTCTACTTTAATTATAAATGTCTTAATCAACAAGTGTTAATTTTCTTTCACGAATTCGTAAAAACATAAATTAGTTAGAATAGCGTGACTCGATAAAATCAGTTATTTACATGGCGCCAATCCGTCGCCATGCTGGCGCCAAAATTTCTACATCTTTATTGTTCAAAAAGATCGTAATTTTTTTAGTATACCCTGAAAATTTCAAAATAATTGGGTCAATATTAAAGGAGTTTTAAAAGAATTAACACGGTGGGCGCCAAAATGCAAAAAAATTATAATTTTTTTAGTTAAAAATTGATTTTTTTATCAAAATGTTTAGTTTTTTAAAATATAGGTATAAAAAATCATAAGGGTACATTTAATTTAATCTTATTATTTAACACCCACAATTGTCTTTACAAAAAGGCAAACCCACGCAGAAAAAAATTGTTTTAGTACAACATTACTCAACATAAAAGGTCAGTTAGCCACCATATTTAAATGTAAATAAGTTGGAATACATACTAAATAAATCGATTTTTAACATTTTCTGGAAAACACTTTCTAAATCTGAAATAAAAACTACTTCAAAAAAATTATACGCAAAAAATTACACCCCATCCCTCCATACGATCCAGATTCACCCCGTATCGACTAAACCACGAAAAACAATCGACTACATACCCAAAAATATTCCTTACAACTTAAAAACCCAATCACTGCACCAAAGAAGGTATTAACAATATTTTGCACATTTTTCGTATATTTTTATTCGCGAAGTAAGCACAGAAAATTTCAGTTCTCGCAAGGACTGACGTTACCAACTAAAGGCGTCGGCGCCGTGTGGTCATGTGACGTCCAATCAATAACGCCGTCTTCGCAGGAATCAATATGTTTACGAAAAAAAAATAAAAATAAAATAATCTTACTTTGTTTTATTATATTATTTAGTTTTACAGCAAAATTAAGTAAAAGATATGTTGAAATTATTATTTTGTTACCCTGGGGTTTGCCCCAATAATATGCCAGCCACAACAGGCTGACAACCTCAATATATTAATCATTTTATAGGTAATAAACAGAATATAGTGTTTTGGTTATTCATTAGTTACCTCCTCTATTAATAAACGCTATAAACAATATTTAAACAAATGATATGAAATGTTCAAGAGTCTGTAACATTTAGAATTTCAAAGGATTTATAGTAATACTATTTTACATAATAAAGAAATATATCTCATGATAACGTTTATCAAATTTACCAATAAAATAAACAATTTTTTAAAACCAAACACGACAAAAGTAAAATCGTTTAAAATCCTAAAGAAGGCTTTGACATGTCACTTTTAGATCAAGTAGGTGCTCGATTTTCTTTTGTTAGATGAAAGCACACTTGTAAGTTGGTTTTTTATTAGTTTAAAGCAATTTTTAATTTACATTTGGATAATAAAATTAACATGGTTATTTCCCATTATTCATCGTAAAAAAATAGTGAGTCATCCACCCTCATAATCCAGGGGTGTACAAAAATCAATGAAATGCTTCAGTCTTGACCTATAATACTAATAAGTTAATTGGTTAATCTCTAATATATTTTTAACAATTATTATTATATTAAAAGACCCAAAAACTATATTTGTAATAATACTGTTTTATTTACCTTTAGATAAGGAACAAAAACAAAAATAAAAGTACACCCCTGCGCAACACATCAATACATTGTCTTTTTCAATTTATTAACGAAACAAACCAAGTTGAAGCGTCATTTAACAATCAACCCAACATTTAGTGTAAATTTTAAGTGATAAATACGTAAAACTTACCTTATTGTCTTTAAAACATCCGAAAAACGCACTTTTTCAAGCAGCACCAACTATTTGACATTTCAAGTCGATATTGGTTGCGCATGCGCATTCCGCGCGCAGTGACATTGGACAGGACCGTACGCAACAAAATTTATGTTGCGGGATTAATAATCGATTTTATGCTGCTATATTGTGTGGGGGTTTTTGTTAAATTTTTAGGTTGAATAAAAAATAGCGCCATTTCGAATTTATTAAAGGGTTTCATGCAAATTTTAAAAATTTGTAAAAACACAAATTTTGTTGCGGTTATTCATACAAAGTTTTTAATTTTTCGGTTATATAGAAAATGCATTATTTTTAGTGGGAAGATTTATTTTTCCAACATTAAATATTAATAGAAAAACTAGGTCACAAAAATATATGTATACATACATTATAACAATATTAGTAAAAGCAAAATTCTATTTCTTTTGTTTATCAGCGCTGACACTTTTAGCGTTAAATTTAAAAGTCGGCAACGTACTAAAAAAATCAATGTTAGGTTTTTCTCCAAAACTAGTAGTTTGACTGAAGTTAAATGTAGGCTCTTTGGGAACTGTAGCTGGGAATTTTGGTGGCTCAGGTCTTTTAGGAGCCTTCTTTTCAGACCTCTCCCCGTTTTCGCAAACAACCCCTCCGTAAATTTCCGACAAATTCACGTCCAGTCTGCAGTTAATGCTGTCTACATCGTTCGATATACTTGAGAATGGTACAATGAATTCATTGTTAATATTAACAATGTTTGTACACTTTTTAACATCTGTGGAGTACAAAAGCTTGTCCTCGCTGTAAAAATGGAACTTGTGCTTGATGGATTCAGCCCTACTAATGGGGCCCACGTTAATATTGAACAAATGTATCTGTTGTTTAACAAAGTCAACTTTAACCATTATTATAAACACAAAATCTTGTGTTATATACATGAAATTACTCTCATTGTCCTCCTTGAGGTTTAAAAAGAATATCGGGTGGCTTAAAACCTTTTTGTGTACGTTTTTGTAGTGGTTTATTAGATCAAACGACACTCCCTCATACTCGTTACATATGACACATTTGTATGTGTTTCCTGTGCATTTCTCTTCGTGTTCCTTCATCTGACTGGCATTAATAGCCAGTAGACATCCGTCGTATCTGTTTACACACCTGAACAACGTTGTAGTTATTAATTTTTCGTACAAGGATTTGACACCATTGTCATTTTCGTCGCAGCATCTTCCACACAGCGTTTGTCGGTTGGGGTACACTTTCACAGGCAAAACTGACAAGTATTTGTTGCATTTGTTGCATATTAGTTGGTTTAAAACGTTGTCTGGAAGTAATAAGGACGTCATTTTAGGTTATGTGTACGAAAACAAATCAAATGGCGGCCATCTTGTTTTTGGTGGCTTTCAGTGTTGCCAACACTAAGTAAAATATAATCGGTTTGTTCCACATACTTTCTAGATATGTGGTTTGTTCAATAATTTTACAATAATATTTTGTAATCAATAAATAACTTATTGCGTGTTTTGTGGCATGTATTGTTTATTATTTCGGACAATAAAATGTTTTCTTTTGTGTTTTAGCGATAGATGATCTTGAAATCAATAAAATATTAATGTTGGCTTTATAAATTTATAATTTAATATTTTCGAAAAATGATCACCATACATTCGTTTTTTTTTATGTGCTCTGTAAGATGTGGCTCTATTTTTATAGGAGTTGTAACATTTGTAAGTGATTTTACAATTTGATATTTTTATGTTAATAAAATTGTTTGCAGACTCAGGCCATTATTTTGCTTATGATGGTTTCTTTAAATTACGAGAATGCTAATTATGTCGCTGATTGTACATTGAAGACGTTACAAAAAATTAAAATTTATGAAAATATTGTTGAGTTTTTAAAAATTAGGGATGGTATATATCTATATTGTTCCATCCAAAATAGTTGCTAATAACATGGTATATTTTTAGGAGCTGAGACCTACATGATTTCTTTTGGGGTATTGTGTGGTTTATTATTATTATCCTCAACCTTAGTAATAATTGGGGCTTATCAAGTAAGATATTAAAGGCAAAATTTGGGCGTTTTCATAATTTATTTATTTTTTAGTGCAAGCGTAACTATATGTACCCATTTTTAATATTTTTTGGTGTTTTTATAGTACTAGGAGTGGGTTTCATGGTTTTATTGATATTTTTCTTCAAAGCAAACAATTTGGGACTGGGACACTTAATTTTTTATTCCAATTTGATGGTTTTCATTTTTAGTAAGTATTATAATATATATTAGGCACATGTTTTAAAGAATTTGTTCCATACTTATATACAGGGTGAGGCATTGAAATGACTCACCCTCTATATGTATAATATATATTTTTTAGTATTTTATTTGTATAAATGGGCTTGCGTTTATAGCTTTATACACATAATTGACAATTTGGAAAGAAGATTAGACGACCAAATGAAGTTAAAAAAACCAACACCTGAAATAAAAGTTTTATACAAAAACAACTTATATCACAGATAGGTAAATGAAAGGCGTATTTTCTCGACTTTGTTTTTATTGAATAAACTGATTTCATCTTATTCTTTTGCTGCAATTATCGCTAATGAACATTACATGTTTTCCTTTTCTTGATTTTTGTTTTTGTACTGGCCCACCAAAGTATCGTAAATGTCAATTTTCGGGGTGATATCGGAATTGCTTTCATCGAAAACATCATTTTCAATGGGCTGTCCGTCAAAGTTCTTGAGTTCGATATTTCTGAAATAAAGCCACAAAGAAGCACATTAAGAAATTTGTTTTTTATTATCAACTTTTGTATTGAGGTAAATTTAGTTGCATGTTGTTTTTACCTTTTTCCGAATCCACCACCGCCTACTAGAGAACTGGACACTCTAAAAATAAAGAAAATATATAAAATATAGTTTTTGATTTTTAAATGTTTTCTACCTTTTTCCAAATCCTCCCCCTCCTACAAGGGTACTAGAAACCCTAAAAATGTTAATAATTAGTAAAAAAAATATTTTCCAATAATTATACCTTTTCCCAAAACCACCACCAGCCATCAGTGAACTAGGAACCCTATAAAAACAAAATTTATATCTGTACTTTAAAAATCATTTATTTTCCTACCTTTTCCCGAAATTTCCCCCAAACCTCAAACTTGACGTGGCCCTCCTGTTATACTGATTCCTCATTTGTTCCGGTATTCTATAAGTAAACGATCTACAAATTTAAACGTATTTGTATATTTATACAGAGTGTCCTTAAAAATCCAAAATTGTCGATTTTTAAATTAATTTGTCTTGTTTTTTGCAAAAATGGCGGATGCGCCATGATTAATTTATAAAAACCTCGTAACTGTTTTAAAAAGTATTTTACGAAAAATCTGTTACCGTCACTTTAAAAATAGCATTTTTCTTGATATATTTTTCAACTATCATACAATTCTTTCCAAAATTGATAGATACAATTTTGTATGTAAAAAAATTAAAATTAATTATAAATACGTATATTTTTCACAATTTTGCTTTAATTTTGATGAAATTTTTAGGGTATACTTTTCAAAATACGATTTTTTTATTAATTTTATTTGTATTCCAAAATATTACAATATTAATATTAAAATATAAATATGTTATTTTTTGCAAAAATGGTGGATGCACTAGAATTAATTTATAGACTTTTATAGAAAGTACTTTATGAAATATCTGTTAACGCCAGTTTTAACTTTTATAAAAATCTTTTCAAAATTGAGGAAAATACAATTTTTCATGTATAAAATTAAAAATATTTTTTTTAATTTTTCACAATTTTGCTTTAATTTTGATGCAATTTTCAGGGTATACTTTTCATAATTTTTCTATTAATTTTATTTGTTCTCCAAAATTTTTCAAAAAATGTTGTTTGCAAAAATGGTGGATGCGCTAGCATTAATTTATAAAAACATCGTAACTTTTTAAAAAAGTATTTTACAAAAAATCTGTTAAAGTCACTTTAAAAAGAGTATATTTCTTAATATATTTTTCAACTTTTATAAAAATCTTTCCAAAATTGAGAAAGATACAATTTTTTATGTAAAAAATTTAAAATTAATTTTTAAATAGGTATATTTTTCACAATTTTGCTTTAATTTTGATGAAATTTATAGGGTATACTTATCAAAATACGATTTTTTAATTAATTTTATTTGTATTCAAAAATATTCAAATATGTTGATTTTTGCATAATGGTGGATGCACCAGCATTAATTTTATTTATAAAAATCTCTTTTTTAAAAATTATTTTACGAAAAATCTGTTAACACCAGTTTAAAAAGAGAATATTTCTTTATGTATTTTTTAAACTTTTATACAAATCTTTTTAAAATTGAGGAAGATACAATTATTCATGTACAAAATTAAATATATATTTTTTTGTATATATTTCACAATTTTGCTTTAATTTTGATAAAATTTTTAGGGTATACTTTTCAAAATATGATTTTTTAATTAATTTTATTTGTATAAAATCTTTCCAAAAATGAGGAAGATACAATTTTTTATGTACAAAATTAAAAATAAATTTTTAAATACGTCTATTTTCCCCAATTTTACTTTAATTTTGATGAAATTTTAAGGGTATAGGTTTCAAAATACGATTTTTTAATTAATTTTATTTGTATTCCAAAATATTCAAAAATGGTGGATGCGCCAGCATTAATTTATAAAAACCTCGTAACTTTTTTAAAAAGTATTCTCCAAAAAAATCTGTTAACGTCACTTCAAAAAGAGCATTTTTCTTGATATATTTTTTAACTTTTATAAAAATATTACCTATATTGAGGAAGACACAATTTTTAATGTAAAAATTAAAAATTAATTTTTTAAATACGCATATTTTTTACAATTTTGCTTTAATCCTTATAAAAATTTAATAGTATATTTTTTAATTAATTATATTCGTAATAACATACCTTAAAGCTCTACCCAATGTCCCCCCTTCCATTAGATTGGATGCCATGCTTCTTCTAAACTTGTCAGCCCTAAAACTTTTGTTTTTTTTGGTATTTAATTTTTATATTGTGTTTTATATACCACCTATCAGCTTCTGATCTTTTATCCTCTTCTAATATGTCGTTTAAGGATGGTCTGGATAAAATATCCTCCACTGTTTATGGTAAGTAAGCATTGCAAAATATAATACATGGTAATAATTTTTAAATTATTAAGGTTGGGGTGAAATTTAATAAAAAACGTGTGATATGTAATATTTTATTTCCTGTTTATTATAAATTCAGTTATTATTTCATATTATCAAATTTGTCAGTTATATTTTGGTTTTCTATGTTCGAAATGTTTTAGATATTTTTGAATTTGTCGTTTCAAAATATCGCCCCCAATGTCGTCCATGGACCTTTTTAATATGTCTCCTCCTAAAAATCAAAATGATTAAATCAAAATTTAAAAAAATCAATAAAAACGTGACTTGGAGCATTTTTACTTTCATAATTTTTTTTAATCGTTAAAATTTTATTAAACATAATTTAGTTTCATTAAAATACCTCCATAAATAACAAAATTACAAATTTAACAAAATGGCGCCCAACTTTTTTAGATTAATTATTACCAATATCGTCCATGGAACGCTTTAGAAAGTCACCTCCAATATCATCCATAGATCTTTTCAATATGTCGCCACCTATTAGAAAAATATTTTAAATAAAAAAACATAAAATATAAATATTAAAAAAAATTACTAAGAGCCTTTTTACTTTAAATTCTTGATAGTTTTTAGAAACATAATAAAAAATTTAAAAAATAAAAATTTGTTTTGTTAAAATCGCTTTACAGATTTTTTATATTACATATTTAAAATAAAAAATATATATCTATTAAAAAAAATTACTTAGAACATTTTGTTACTTTTTTAGAAACAGAATAAAAAAATAGGCAATAAAGTTTTGCTTCATTTCAATCGCTTTATAAATAACAAAGTTATTAATTTGACAAATTGGCGCCCAACTTTTTTAAAATTTTTATTACCGATATCGTCCATTGAACGCTTTAGAAAGTCACCTCCAATATCATCCATCGATCTTTTCAATATGTCGCCACCTATGATATAAAAATATTTTAAATAAAAAAAAAATTAAAAAAAATGACTTGGAACATTTTTACATTAAATCTGGTAAAATTTTTAGAAATAGAGCAAAAAATATAGCATATAAAATTTTGTTACATCAAAATTGCTATATAAATAACAAAGTTATGAATATATAAATATTTTGAAGCAGTTTCGATTTAATTACCAATATCGTCCATGGAGCGCTTTAGAATGTCACCTCCGATGTCATCCATCGATCTTTTCAGTATATCGCCACCTTCACAATG